GAAAAGAGGATAAGATTATATTAGTCAGAGAAAGAAACAACAAAAAAAATTCTGCTTTTTCCTCCCGTGCCCTATCCTGTTCTGGCTGATTTTGGGAAGGATCTGTTTATTACTCCAGTTATTTGCTGACAGGAAATCTCACACAGACTTGCCATCTAACTTTTAAAAATTATTTATTTATTATTATTATTTTTTTTAAGAGAAGGAGAAAGGCATTTGTTAGCCCTTGAAGGTAGGATGAAAGAACCTAGGACTGATGCATTTTACATTGCTGCTGCTTGGAATGCTTCCTTAGATCATATTACATATCTCGTGCTATGTTTGTCTTTGGGAAATGGGAATCAAGTAGCTTACAGGAATATACCAATCCTTTCTTATTGAGTTTCTATTATAAAAAGTTGTTTACCCTTACTGTACATTAGACTCTTGGCTTCTATTCAAGAGGCACTGCTTTTGCATCCACTATTAAAGCTAAAGGCAATAGCAACATCTTGAAGGGTACTCTGAACATCAGCAGTGGCTGTAATTGGGTAGCAGGCAAAATGCACTGGGCCTCAGTGATGTATAGCATTTTACACCATTGTTGTGCCATATTATTTTACTTTTGCTGTGTCATACTATATTGCTTTTGCTGGGTATTTTGATAAAGTGTGCATACTCATGAAACTGGTTGAATTCTTTCATGCAATATTGCATCTCAAAGTTAAAGCCACCTGAGCCGTACATTGCCTTACTGTCTTGATAAAAGATTGGAAACCGAGGTACAGACATCCTTATGAATAACCACAATTTTGTGGAAACATAATGAGAATATTACCTGTTTTGAACATTATGAGCTCCATCCCAGAAGTTCTGACTGTTTTGTATCAGCAAACTGAAGTATCTAAGCTTCATTAGAATTTTCTTTTACTACTTCTGTGTGGTAACGCAGCATTTCATGGTATTTTACTAGAAATTATTTCTAAAAGGCTCCTTCTCTTGTCTTGTTCTGTCTTGTTGAAGGAAGCATTTAAAATACCTCCCACAGTTAAAGCATAATAGAGCAAATTCAGTCTTAGTGAAAGCCATCTGGGAGAACTAGTTTTGATGATTAAAAGAATATGTATTTAAATGTGTCATTCTGTACCCTATTCTTGCATTATGTCTTTTCTGAATAGCTGAAAAATTGAAGATATGTTCGGAATATAAATGTTTAAGATTTTGTTTTAATGTATTTTGAGAGGAGAGAAATTTGTTAAAATGAGAGCTATTGTGATATAAGAAAGTCAGAAATAATGCCATAAAATTCAGACACTTTCTTTGTTTTCATGTCAGCCTCCAACAAAGTGCTCTCAATCTTAAAAATGGGAAAATGGGGGCCTTGTAGAGGGGACCCTTTCTTTACAACATGAGAGTACATTTTAGTGGGAAAGTGAAAGATTCCTGCTTGGTTCACAACCCTTTGGGCTACTTTAGTGTCCTTTGACTTGTTGAGCAGTGTACTCCCAACAGTTTTTCCAAAGGTTTTCTATAAACTTCATGCTGGAGAGGTCACTGCCTCTGACTTGACTCTTGCAATCCTGTCAGACTGAAACCAAGCCTGTGCTAAATTGCTCTCTGTATCTTAGTATTGCCTGATGCAATTCCTTTTTGTGATTTAATACATTAAAGCATTGAAGGCCTTAGGGAGATGCAGAGTGTTGTAGGAGCAGCTAAAGAAGAAGAAGAAAATACTGAAACAATAATATTGTGGTCCTGAGCTAGCTAGAGCTAAGAGTAGTGTGTGTGTGAAAAGAATCGCAAGGTCAAGCTGGAAAGCTGCTTGAAGCATGGTTGTTCTCTGTGGCTGGGAGAGTCACGTGGATGTATGTGGTATGTGAGAGATAAGAAACACCTGGCCTGGCTGAGGAGTTTGGACCCAGAGTCAGCTGAGAGCCTGTGTATAGTTATGGAGCAATAAAGTTACAAGAGGGTTCTGCCTGGACAAAAGTCTGTCCCACTTGAATTCATTTGCCACAAATGGTGCTGTAAATGGTGCCCCATGTGCCACAGAGTGTCATCCTGCAGATGGATGGGTTTCGACTGTAGGGAAATAAAGCAAAAAACCGAAACCACCCCCAAACTCGTTACTTTACAAACAAGCTTGAGACGTGACTTCTGCTTTCGTATCTTTCTGTGATTTGAGTGGAAAAGAATGACATTGCAGACTTCTGGTGTTCTTCTTTACCTCATGCCCTTCTTCCCTGTAATATGTATCAAGAGAAATACACCTCTGCCCCCCATTTTAACCTATGTTTATAATTTATATATTGCTTTAATATCGTTAATATCTTATCTTTAATTCTTTCCTATCATGGGCGGCATCTATCTGTCCTAGATCTTAGGGGTACACTGGATGCCGTGAAACCTGTGGGCTGAGCAGTGGCCTCTGCAGTTTGTCATGACAAAACTCCTATTTCCTTCTCCTAAAACTTCTGATACTTTTGACTCTGTGCTACTTATGACCATAGGACCATAATGCCCGTAGTTCTTATCACTATTGCTCAGACGTTGGAAGCCTACTGAAAGCCTGAGAAATCAGACCGATATATATGTTATAGGTCCAAAATTCTGAGGTACCAGGTCTAGTGCACAGTTCGTTTCCATTCAAGAAAATCCAATCCATGCTGTAGCTTGTTCCTTTGGGAGTGGAAAATATTGGTAGAACTGTATCCCCTTTGCTTCCTGGGGCCCTCCCTGTCTGGTAGTGTTGCAAATTTTGTTTGAGTTTGCAAATAAAGAATGTTTTCTCATGGGGATTATACCAAAAGAAGTAGTCCTAGTGTCGTGAAAGGGTAACATAGTTCCCTGAGGAATGTATACTTCATTAAGCTTGGAGAGGTCAGATGTCATACAAAGAAAGCAGAAGTCAAGTCTCTCAAAGATGTGTACAGTTGTCAAAATCAGGATTATTTTTTTTAGCTGAAGACACTGGCAAAGCAAGACATTTTGAGCAAAGATATTATGCTTTTACACTCATTTGCGTCAAATAATTTCAACCTGCTTTATAAACCTCTTTAATTCGTTACACAGATTATCTCAGGACGGACAGTAGCTAGCATTTACAGTTCAAATTGGCAAACTAAACCGCAGTGCAGAGGGCTAGTGCAAAGTCCAGTAAAATCTAGTTTTAGGATCCTGGCTCCTGCTGGCTGTTTTAACCCCTGTTAGCTACACCCAGGTTCTGACCAAGTTTATTTTCTTTTGCTTCTGAACTCTTTTGGAGCAAATCTAGTGAACTGATAAAGGAAGAGGCTTCATCTCTTGTTTACAGTTATCAAGAGAAACCCATTTTTGCTTCTAGGAACCTTCTATTTCATTGGAGTTTGGAGTTGTTTGTTTGTTTGTTTGGGGTTTTTTTTGTGTGTGTTTTTTTATTTTTTTTTAACCCTTTTCCCAAATAGCCAATGCAACAAGTGTCTTTGCCCTATATGTGTTCTTTAAAGAGTTGAACATCTTCAGTGATGTAGGTCAGGACTGTGACATAGCAAGATCAAAATATCACAGCATGGAAGAAAGCCAGACTTTTAGATGGCTTTCTATATGTGAACAATACATTTCTGTATCTTGGGATAACTGCATTCCTAGTTACTTGTGAAAGATTCCTTTTCCTTCAATGAATTAGTTTGAAATAACTTTGTCGTTTTGTAGACAAAGGGAAATGTGAATTTTTATGTATATAAATACGTTAAATTTTGAAAACCCTCCTGAAGGCACGTAACTTTTAATTTCAGGTGCTAATTTCAGACATTATTTCATAAGGCATAATCCCAAGTCTATAGCTGCATTGAAGCTCAGCTGATTTTACTGTATCTTATCTTTTTTCTTTTGGGGAAACAATTGTATCTTGTTTATTAAAATATTCTACTGACTGCAAAGTGCTTGTTCTGTTTCTGCTGTATTTGCCAAGTCTTCCTTTAAGGCTGCTGTTTTCAATGTATCCAAAAAATGCTTAATTTGAAGAGGAAAACTTGGTGGGTTTTAGGCATGCTTTAGAGCTATTCTGTCTGGCATGAAATACTGAGGCTACTTGATATCTCCAGGACAAATGTCTGAGTTAGATGCTAATATCACGCAATGGGAGATGGTCTATTTAAAAAAACAAACAAACAAAGCTATTGTAGTTTTTTATCTCAAGTTAATATCCTCTCTGTGTCCCTTTTTATCCTAGAAATTGAATTTACATTTTTCATTTTGTCATGCTGCAGTTTGTATCTTTGAGAGCACCGAGTTACTTGAAGATATACTGCACTCAATATCCTTTAGTTTGTTTTCTAAGTTAGTAAGGGAATTTATGGCTTGGCTGTTTTGGGACAAGAGGGACAATAACTGACAGACATGCCAGAAGAAGAAAACTAAAGAGAAAAATTTCTTACATTTTCAAGACTTAACTCCGAAGTTGTAGATTGAAAGAAATAGCTAAGTGTGTGTGTTTAAAAAAAGAAGTGTGTGTGTGTGTAAATATATATATATATATGTATATAAATATTCATATTAAATATGTCCATGAGCTTACCATTTGGGCTCCTCACAATCATCTGTGCAACATTCTGAAGGTCTCCTAACATAACTAACTTTACGTTATTTGCAGGATGTCAGTGGCTTCAATTTGCTGCTCTTTTTACCCTTTCTCATCAATTTTGTAACATGGTTAGTAGTGAATTAGTGATCAGGATTTTTAGTAGGTCACTTTATATATTTGGTGAAGATTCCTTCACCTGCACATCCTTTGTGTTACATATAAGCTGTGGCATGCATGCCAGCATTTCTTACTTGATAAAACTGTAGCTCAGAAGAAAGTGATGCATTATAGCCAAGTGGTTAAATTGCTTGCAAAAAAGCAGGCAGGACAGCTCACCAACAGTTCCTGAAAGAAAACTCCTTTGTTGTCCAGGTGTTACCGCAGAGTTTCTGGCTCCACTCTGCTGGTTGAGAGGTGAGTCTGTCCTGGAGAGCCATTAATTTGAAGGTGAACATATTAAATGAAACAGTTTTCACTGTTTAACTGGAGTTAACCTCAAGGTGCTTGTTAAAGTGAACATGCACGGTGACTATTACTGAAGCTCACTTGAGTGGCGTAAATGGGTGAACCTACAGTTTTCTGACTCTATGTGTGAAATTTGAGGGTGCCTGTTGTATGGGATTGTAGAAATAATCTAACACTTGATTTTCTCTAGTCATCATGTAATCCATGTTAGTCATGCTTTTCCTGGATTTCTTTGAATTTTGCTTTCTGAATATTCAAACAAGGTGGGGTTTTTTTGTGTGTGTGTGTGTGGTGTTTTGTTGTTTTTGTTGGTTTTTGTTTGTTTGTTTGTGGGTTTTTGTTTGTGGTGTTGTTGTTTTCTTTGGGAGCGATGTATACACAATATCTTCTTCATAGGAAGTGTTTTAATTTGGAGCCAAACCTCTGAAATTGTGTGAGTGCACAGAATATCTATTCTACTTGCTCTGCTCAGCCCATGCCCCGTAAAAGTTCCAGAACAAGGGTAAGGTATTGGGGATTGCTGAAGTTCCAGGTTTCTCAAAAAGCTGAAAAGTTATTTATTAACTAAAACTGAGATGATGATGGAAGAATGCTGAAAAGGATAGAGGAAGGGAGAAAGCCCTCCATGTTTCCCTGTAAGTAAGTAATGCAGCTGAGAGCAGCAGTGGACACTCAGGTCTGCACCTGGTCTGGCTGGTGACCCTTTGACTCTGCCTGGAGGGAGTTCAATCAATGCAATTGGGACATATTCAGAGGAAGTATCTGTTTTTCCTTACTTTATTATCATTTTTTATTCTAGGTAGTGACACCCTGCTTTTTTCCAGGCAACTACGAGCTGGTAAGTATTTTTGGCACTACTGATATCCATCAAGTTTTATTAGGTTATAGGTTAGGTTATTGTTGCAGTCTGATACATTCTCTTGTTATTTCAGTACTGTGCCATCACCTTTCCTCTCTGAAGGCTTGGCAAATTAAGGGTCTATTCCTGAAGCTTGTTACTGTGTCTTGTCCCATGCAAGAAAGCATAAAACCGGATGTTTTATGCTTTTATTTGTGTTTTAAATAATAATAAAAAAAGACTGATTATTTATTTCAACATACTGATGCCTCATATCAGTTTGAAAGTACAAGTATTGTAAGATTTGGTTGGGGCCTGTTATTTTTTGTTGAAGGTGGAAGACAGGAAGTTAATCCACACTTAATCAGGATAGGAAAATTATAAGCCTTTTCTGGCTTGCATGACTGAATTTGGTTATTCCAGCTCCAAGGGTAACATGAGTGATGCCTGGAGAATGGGGTGTAACAGTTACTTGTTGAACCAGCATTGGCACCCACTAGTGTCATTACTAGGACTAATCAGCCAACAGCTGATGCCCAAGTGTCAGCCAAGAACTCTGTGTATTGTAATGCAACCACTGGCAATTAGGAATCCTGCATCTCAGTTCTGCCTTGCTAAGTGAATTGGCTAAGTCACTTTGCATATTTTAGTGTCTTGATTTCCCTGTTGGAAGAATACAGGTAGCGATACTTACTTATTATGAACCACAGAAGTCAAAAGGTGCTTTTTAAAATTATTATCCTATAAAGGAAAGCCTGGAAACCTAAATCAGTAATTTCTGGTATTATGAGGAATGTGAATATCAACTCATTGGAGGTCTCTCCTAAATTTGACCCAGTAATTTTATGAATTAACCCACATCAGGGTCTGAGAATCTTGTATGGCATCACTGCTAAAATTATAAATAGAAAAAAACCCCTTTCTTATGTATGCAACTCACAGTATTAGGTGCATACTGGCAACTGCACTTGCTGTTTCTTTTGTGTTGTGCACACAACCCGAGTATTGATTCTGGCAGAGAACATTTGTCATTGTGATTCAGGAACAATTTTAAACCTGTGGGGTATGTTACCAGTCGTTAATAATTCTGATTGAATTTGATTTATGTGAACTGTTAATATAGGGCAGTGCTAATCTGGGCACAAGTGTGACCTGCTGACAGGTGAAGAGCTTAGATGGCAAAAGCGGCCTAACCGGTTCTAGTTTACTAGCAGGGATGTAGACAGAGGTATAGTCAGTCCCCAAATAAAACATTTACTAGTTTTAGGCAGAAGAAGGAGTAGAATTCTATTTAAATTTCTTGCAGGGAAATCTGTAGGTGAAATATTTTACTACATAGTGTGCAATGTGTTCTTATTATTGAGAGAGAGATTGAACAGTGTGTTTTGCTTTTGATGTGAAGTATGGTGACGTTTTTAGATTAAGAGTCTTTGTTGTGCACAAGTAAATTTTATCTGTTTAATGAAGAGTTCTGTTGGTCTGAAGGAGCATGATCTGTGATGGCATTAGCTGTAAACTGTTTTTTTTACAACTTTCGAGTGTAAAATCTTGAGAAGATCAAGAATTGATCTTCTTGAGATTTTTAGATAATAGAGAGGGCAACATCTATCCAAATTAACCAAAACTTTGTGGCATTACAGTTTGCTGCAGAACCATGGATTTGTCACCATTTATTCCAGCAAGGAAGTCCAACCTTTTAGTTTTCACATGATTAAACAATTTCGTATGCCTGCTTTAAATAAGCGTTGCATATATTTAGCCAGTGTAAAGGCTTCCTGTATTGCTCTCCTTAAGGTGGCTTATAGCAATAACTGTAGTTAAACTCTCCATGACATATTTGTTGGAAGACTGTTGAAGCCTGATGAAATTCACAGATGTTCTTTTTCTTCAGAATATGGGATTTATTGATTATTTTCGGCTTGGATGCCAGTTTCCAAAGAGGCCCTTTCTTCCCATTTCTCATGAGGCATTGTCCTAGTTAGAACAGCTGGGACCGATTCATCACTGGATGGGTGTAGCCCAAAACTGTGTATTCTATAGCCTTCCATGCCATTTCCCAGAAACTGTTATCGGTAGAGGCCTGCGAAACAGGAAGATGTTCCTGTCCTTATACCCTTTTATGGAATTCCCCACTCTGAGGGAAGGACTGAGCATCCTCATACCCTTTTATGGAATTCCCCACTCTGAGAGAAGGACTGAGCATCCTCATACCCTTTCATGGAATTCCCCACTCTGAGGGGAGGACTGAGCGTTCCTGCCTGAACTGGAGAATATGTAAGCTTGGAGTTTCGGAACCTTTTTACCACTTTTTACCACTTGTGGGATCCAGAGAAAGACTGCAGCTCACTGCTCTCAGCCAGACTGCAGCTCACTGCTCTCAGCCAGACTGCAGCTCACTGCTCTCAGCCAGACTGCAGCTCACTGCTCTCAGCCAGACTGCAGCTCACTGCTCTCAGCCAGACTGCAGCTCACCACTCTCAACCGGACTGAGACCACCACCCTCAACTGAACTGCAGTCACTACTTTTGACCAGACTGTAACAACTCTCCAAAAAAACAGCAGGATTTTTCCCCTCTACCTTTATTTTGGACTCAGGGGGGGCCCAAGGAACACCACTTTGTTCATGCCCCAGGGTGCTGGGTTATACATTTGGGTTTTGTGGGTTAAAACCAATTGTTTGTCTGTATAATCGTACTTATTGTATTATTTTATTAAATTGTTGTTCTGACTTTTAATCTCTCTTTTGAGTTGAGTTCATTTCCCCTTGCTAGTTAACTTTTAAACCAGCACAGGCATTTATCTTGAAACTTTGTAATGATATCAAGAGCCTCATATATCAACTCAATGCAGCTATTAGGAGTTCAGGTGCTAGAATATAAACAGCTGCTAAGTGTTCTAATATGACTTTATGTTGTCATGCACATTCCTCAAATTGGAGAAAGGGAGATAATGCTAGTCCAGCTCTGTTAATTCAAGCCAAACGTTTAACAAAGATGACCAGTTCCTCTGCACTTATATTTCATGAAGAGGCAATGGGCTATTTTTAAAAATGGTCTTTCATTGCAGAGATGTATAGCTTGACCCAAAGATTTTGGAAGAAAAAAAAGGAAAGAAAAGTGCCATGTGTGGTGACCACATATGGTCACTGCCTTTTTTTTTTTTTTTAACCTGAGAGTGACTTAGCCTGCGTAATACTTCTAAAATATGATAAAATCAAAAATGGTAAGTTTGTTTGAAAAGCCTTTATTGGAATTATTGGATCTTATTTTGCAAGATTACTAGTTACTCAGTAGATCGTATTTTTTTAAATTAAAACAAATTGCTAACAGCTACACAGTTTTTTTCTTAAATAAGTCTTTTTCTCTAGTGCTACCAAAATGAGAAGGTTTAGGCCCTAATCTTAAAGCTCCAAATAGGTTTTGTTTAATCTGTTACTTAAAGATAAAAATTAAAGGAAAGCTAGTGGAAGGATATTATTTTTTAGGTAATTTTTAGATTCTGGGAAATATTCTAGGATAGTTTAAGATGCTTCAAGATCAGTAAGTTTGTCTTCTTCGCTGAATTTTTTTTTCCATCCTTCATAATGGTGTGTCTTTGAAAAGAATAAAGGAAACTAAATCTTAATTCTTCGGAGGCCCATCCCCTATCCTGACAAATATCTCGCAGTAATGAAATGTGGTGTGAAGGCCCAAACCTCTTATGTATGTGGATTCTTATTGTAGAATAACTTCATTGATGAATGGTCCTTATCACTGGATGACTTATCAATTCTAAGACATGGTTAAATAGTGATCTTGAACAGAGAAATTTCTGATTTGATCTTTATAACTTTTCTTCCTTTCCCACCGCTTTTTTTTTTTTCCTCTTCCCTCCACTCCCCTAAATGATTACCAGGAAATTCTGCATACTTCTAGATTACCATTTAAACATCACTTTTCATAACCAACTGTTCTGATATGGAAAGAGTAAGTGGACACTTATTTGCAACATATATTTTATTATAACAGTCACTTCAAACTGAAGTTTGTTCAGCTATTTTGCTAAGTCTTCAGTGGAAGTTTGATCATTTTGACAAAATTGGGGAAGGGTGTCTAATTATGCCTCACTCCTCTCCCCCTTAATTGTTCAAGCCTCTTTTCTGTCTCTGAGGAGAAAAATTAAAGACTTGAACATTTATACCCCTCATAACTAACTAAACATTTGATTTTGAATAGTGAGTCAAACTGTGCTCTAACCTCTTTCAAAATAAGAAGAGAACAGAATAAAAGAAATTGTGGGAGAAATAGATTTGGGTTTTTTTGTGTGTGTATGTGTCCTTTTTTAAAAGGAGCAGGAGAGAATACCTTGAAAAAAATGCTGAAGAATTTAAGTGATAAAGTCACAAAGCCCTTATTCTAGTTGCATACCTCATTTTTTACTTGAAATCTATGGCAATTAACATATACCTATATGTATTCACCCTAGTGCCAGCATTTTCTCAAAAAAACCCCTAAAAGCTGAAAATACATGTTGATAGAAAATAAAACCAACCCCCCAACTGTATATGGGGAAAGTGAGCAAGACAACAGAAAACCTTAAGAAAACTCAGTACTCTTAACAGTGTTTGAAAGAATGTTTGTTCCCTATGGCAAAAAAACCCCTCCCTCTTTTTCATGTTGTCCGTTGAATGCAGTCCTCCCCAGATGCTTTGTATGAAAAAGATCAGTGAATATGACAGCTTGAATTTTTATGTTTACTGCATTCATTTTTAAACACATCTTTTCAGAAGAACAATGTGAGGCAGTCTGATGGAACTCTGCCCATCTGTTTTTAATGTGAACCTGCAAGAAATTTTTTGAGAAATATGAGGCTAAATAACTGTGTGCTATGGGGAAGGCCTGTGCGTGTAGATGAAGGATTGCATTCTCCAATTTCATTTTAAGTGGAGCCTTGGTATTAGAAGACGTAAGATGTTAACTTGGGTCGATCAGTATGACCTCTGAATACCCTGGAGTATGATGACTGTGAGTAAATAGTTAGAAACTGACATATGCAATGATTTTGCTCTGCTGGCTGTAATTTTGGTGTCCAGCTTAAATCAGTGAAAGCTTTTCTGGAAAATGTGTCAGGTGGGTTTGATTTGTAATAAAAGTGTGACTAATGGCTAATTAGTTTCTAGATTTTCCTGTCTTTCTTCTTTCAAACAATAGCACGGAAATCTTACAAAAAATTAGGAAAATGCCCAGGTCTGTTTTTTAGAGGGACTTGACTTTTTTTCCTATTTACTACATTCAGGCGTTTGCTCACAGGACCTGTGAGGTGCATACAAAACAAGCATTATATGCACAGAGCAAGCATGAGTTGGTGAAGGATACACTAAGTCTCCAGACATCCCCAGTTGCTGTGACCTTTCCTGGCTCCTTTCATGACTCTCACCAGAGCAGTTCTGCCAGGGAGTGCTGTAGGTTGTAGCTTGCTCTGTCTTGCTATTCAGTTTTGCTTTATTAAATTTTGACCTGTGTTTTTTTCTTCCTTTCCTTTTTTTTTTTTCAACTTCAAAAAAAGAAATAAATCTACTTTTCTTGATTTCTTAGTGTCAAAGATAGGCAGAAGCACAGACTTATGAGACACCCTCTTGATAAAAGCTGTGAGCTGATGCCCGATTCGAATATGAATATTTTTCAAACTTTTTTTCGATTTGCCTGTGTGTAATGCACTTCATTGGAGTTTGTTTTTTGGCTTTACGTTTCAAGTGCTTACCAGAGTAAGACCATGGACCTCAGAGATCTGCAGAGCAGATGTTCCAAAATGCTGTTTTAAGTGCAATCAGCACCTTGTTCATAAATGTCTCTGATTTAGCCATAAGAGGGAACAGAGAATAAAACTGCCTGAGTATGGAAACACCACTCCCCTAAATGAATGAAATGTAGTGATCCTGAATTGAGCAGTGCAAGGTATAAAAAATTCAAAAGCTATAGTTTACTTGGAGGGAGGGCTCATGTTGTTTCTAGGAATATTAGAGAATTTACAAGATTCAATAGGTCTTCAAATATGAAGTTTCATTATAATGCAGTGTGTTCAGTCCCACGTATTCATCCAAAATGAAATGAACAGCAGACTTTCTTTAAAAAAAAACAAACTACAGAGGTAGGGGATCAGCAAGAGGGAGAGGTTTGGCAATTTTCAGAGCCAGGTTTGCCTGCTTGTTTATTTTCTCTAAACCTTTCCACTGAGTGAGGGAGGTACTTCTGCAAGGCAGAAGTGTCTGCTTTTCTGAAGTGTGATGCTATTTACTGTAGCAGATAAATGCAGAAGCATAATATTCTTCCAAGGTAAAGCATGCTTCTTGCTGCCTTCCTAGCTTTCTTTTTCTAAAGCAAAATTATCAGTGTTTCGGACTCTCCTGTATCATTAGTTTTCAATTGGCATAGAAACTTTTTATATATGTTTGATTTCTCTAAACAACAAATGGACTTGCGTAGATTCTGCTGGACAGCTCACACTGGAAAAGGGAAATACACACTCCAAAGTGTGGGGTTTTTTCCTGCTTGTCTGCGTAATTTTCTATTTCGTCATAACTTATCCTAAGAATGACAGATCTTATATCCCCTGGGAATATGCTTTTAGTTAGTCTTTGAAAATGCTTTCTCAACAGTGGAATGTGTAAAAGGAAAGGACAGCACTAATCCCACCACTATAAAATGAATGTCAGCCAAATATTAAAATGATAAATGACTGTAGCATTAGTTATTAGTGTCATGGAGGACTGCCACCTGTCTTTCGAAAGGAAAAGAAAAATCTTTTAATGTTAATTTAAAAATCAGCTTTTCTTATAGTCAACATTCATTTTAATAAACACAATGAATCATGTATCCATGTAGACCCCTCTGTTCAGATAGAACTGTGATTCCTTAGATTAAATTCTTATGTTTGGTGTGACTGTTATATAATGGTGGATTCTGTTTGCTTATTGCTTAACTAAACTTCAATCTCTAGCATCCAATTCAAGTTTAGTTCACTGTCATGTCAGAAATCATGCTGGTTAATTTGCTTTAGGTTTTTCACATTGGCTCAAAAATTTAGTACTTGTATATAAGTAACAAAGTGTGTGTGGCAGAAGTGTTATGTATGAACTTGCTTTTGATTCTGGAGTCAAGACTCAAGCCTATTTCTTGGAGAAATGTCACAGTACCTTGTAGATGTGGGCGGAAAGGGGGAGCTAATTTGGTTTTGGTTGTCTTTGAAGTGGAATCCAAATGAGAAGCTTTCAGGGCAAGATAGCCCTACTGACTAGCAAAACAGTTAACAAAGGTGAAGAAACTGTCCTCAATGAGGCAAGGGGGTTAGAGCATCTCCTGTGGCATTCTTTTAAGGGCTGATGTATGTTCCTTTTTTTTAATGAGTAAAAGAAATATAACTTTATTTTGAAGTAACAGTGTCATTTTATCTTTTGCTTTAATGACTTTTCTTTCAGAAAGGCTGTTTTTAGGGAGCCATTGGCAGGGATCTGTGATGGTTTTCTTCTATGATGATGGAAGATGGGATAATTTGTTTTGGAATGATTTTTCCTCGTTCCGTAGAAAAGAAGTTTTTATTTTCTAACCATAACAATCAAATTTCCTCTGAACTGTCTTTATTGGAGAGTGAGGACAAGAATATTTTGTTGTGTTTGATTTTGAAATGCTATGATTGGTGATGTGTGCAAGTAGAACCATAGAATCACAGAATGGTTTGAGTTGGAAGAGACATTAAAGATCTTCTAGTTCCAACTCCCCTGCCTAGGCAAGGACACCTTCCACTAGACCAGGTTGCTCAGAGCCCCATCCAGCCTGGCCTTGAACACTTCCAGGTATGGGGCATCGACAGCTTTTCTGGGCAACCTGTCCAGTTCCTCACTCCCCTCACAGTAAAGAATTTCTTCCTAATATCCAAGCTAAATCTACCTTGTTTCAGCTTAAAATCATTCCCCCTTGTCCTATCACTGCATACTCTTGCCAAAAGTCTCTCTCCAGACTTCCTGTAGGCCACTTTGAGGTACTGGAAGGCTGCTGTAAGGTCTCCCTGGAGCCTTCTCTTCTTCAGGCTGAACCCTAACTGTCTCAGCTTGTTTTCACAGGAGAGGTGCCCCAGCCCCCTGATCATCTTCATAGCCATCCTCTGGAGTTGCTCCAGCAGGTCTACGTCTTTCTTGTGTTGGGGCCCCCAGAGCTGGATGCAGTACTCAGGTAGGGTCTCACCAGAGCAGAGGGACAGAATCACCTGCCTTGACCTGCTGGCCACACTTCTTTGGATGCATCTCACAATATGGTTGGCTTTCTGGGGTGCAAGCGCACATTGTTGAGATATGTCAAGCTTCTTGTACATCAACACCCCTAAGTCTTTCTCCGCAGGGCTGCTCTTGATCCATTTTCTGCCCAGCCTATAGTTGTGCTTGGGATTGCCCCAACCCAGGTGCATGAACTTGGATTTGGCCTTGTTGAACTTTGAGTTTTGCAATGTCCCACCTCTCAAACCTATCAGGGTCCCTCTGGATGGCATCCCTTCCTTCCACTGCGTCCATCACACCACACAGCTTGGTGTCATCAACAAACTTGCTGAGGCTGCACTTAATCCCACTGAAGTCAAGTGCAGTCTTACCTAACCTACAGCACTTAGTTCTAGTGTTACTTCATTTTCTCATTTTGAGTGTTTTTCAAGATGAAATACTTCTGTTATTCTTCCATTCTAAATCCAAATTATAAAATCTTTACTGAAGATATCTTCTCTTGTGAAATGCTGAATCTTGGCTTTGTTGAAGTCTTAGGCAAACATTTTTACTTTTTCTGTTTTACATAGTTTTACCACTGTACTTCCCCATTATATCACCTTAATTTCATGCTGATTGTAGTCATCAATAAAAAAGGATGTACTTTTGGAATGCTGTGCTTCTGGTGATTCATGTTACATTTTTGTAGTAATAGCTTGGCTCATTGCTTTTAAAAGTTTGTTTTAAATCTCTGTTGATATAATTTAGCATGTTTTAAAGCCAGCCTTGTACAGATTTTTTTTGCACAACACTTACAGAAAATTCCTGGCAGTTCATGTCATTAATACCTATGCAAGTGTCTGTTTTCATGAAAAAGTATAAAATGAGAGATTGGGAAAAGAGGCAGAAGGGCACATGTGGTTAACAGTGTACATCTCCATGCATATTGTAACTTGGAATAGGCACTCCCAGTACCTGAGCACTGTCTTACAAGACCTGAATATGCAGAATGATAATGCAAAATCAATTAGTTTTTCCACATCTGTTTGAAAGATAATTTGTTTGTTAGTACTATAAGATGAATATTGAATGATGAATAAGATGATAAGATGAATTTGTTGTCGTTGTGTGTATATGTTAGGAGGGGATTTCTTAGAATGTAGTTAAACTATCTGGAAAACTAAAGTCAGTTTTGTTAACTTTTCTGTTTTTGCAGGCTAACTCTGAGGTGGTTAAAAATCATGTAACCAGAAGCGTAAGTAATTTTATTTATTCCTTTTTCTTTTACTTGGCCTGATTTATTTTCCTGTTTGTGTCTGCTTGTTTTTACTACAACTTCACAAAGCATCCATTGCTAACCATTTTAAAGTACACATTTTGATTTCTATACTATGTGAAATTAGCTTCTGATTAGCATAAGTGGTTTTTCTTCACACTTCAGTTTATCCAGGAACAATGAAATGACCTCTACATTTCTTATTTTTAATTTAAGCAGGGAAGAAAGTAAAGATAAATCTTAAAGTATTCATAGACTGAATTGTATTCAGAAGAGTACAGAAAGTCAAGAGATTTTATTTTTTCCCAGCAAGAATGATACTAGTTTTTGTCTTGTGGTCAATATGCAATTGATCTTTTAGCTTTTATTTGTTCCATTTGTATGCCATGTTTTTTACAAAACAAATAAATGCCCCTTTCCAACCCTTTATTACTATGGCTGTAGTACTACTGGTACAAGTAGTATTAAATACTTTTATTGAAGTGCAATAGAACCCAGCAGTCTAACTGATGTAGAAATTTGTGCAAATGGGACGTATAGCTGATTTCGATACTGATAGCCCTTAAAAGTATACTTTTAGCACAATTTTTGTGAAGTAAGTAAGACAAAGAAGACAACTTTTTGAAGTCCTTTAGAGTTATCTTTTAACAGAGATGTCAAGTTTTGTAGATTTCTAAATAAATAATGGGAGATACCTATAGTTAACTATCTGTTAGTAGGCAACTGTGATGCAGGTATTTGATTCACTACTGTAAAAATGAGGTTAAAATTTAAAAAGGGACAGAGGAAAGGACTTGCAAGATGTACATGGTCTTCACTGATTCATTGTTCAATTCCAGCGCAGTTCTCTATTGCAACAAATGAGCATGTGTTGCACAGTGCTAGTCTTGTGTGCATTGCATTTTTTTTGTAATGCTGCTGGTGCCACTCTGTGCAGGGTGTAAAGAGTTCTGATCCTTGGTTACCCATGTAGACAGGAGACATTCAGAGGTTACGTTTGTATTAGCTGTATAGTTTGTTTACTTGGCCTGGCAATGAATGTTTTTCTACAACCAAGGGTATTTCTGTGGTTGAATCCATGCTATCAACCACACTGTTCTAATAAAATTAGAGTTATTTCTAGTTGCTAGAATATATTTGATAATGAAACCAGCTATAAATGACTAGTGACGTGATTGTTTCACCTTTCAGTTTGCTGTTTGCTTTCTTATCTAGACAAATTAACTAAAACTAAAAAATCAGAGAAGAACTAAGTTCTTAGTTATCTGTATGTGAATAATTGGTTTTGACAGCTGCTTCTAGTGCAACAAGCATGAAGCAAAATAATGAGATACATTGTGAGGAAAATAATTGTAGATCATTTTCTGTCACTAGTTGGAAGTTTTTAGCATAATTGTGTTACATTTGAATACTTTAGAGGGTTTTCTGTTTCTACTGGTTGCTTATTGCACAAGCCAAGATCATATGTTTTCTGGTTGTTTTTCTGTACATGTAATACCTTGTGCACAGCCATTTTGAAGGCAGCCTTAAATGTTTTTCAGCTGTGCCTTTTGTCTTATTGCATTTTGCAATGATTATTATTTGACCATTAGCAAGTTTCCTGAAATTGTTGGTAGTTACTTTCTATGGACAAGTATACTCCAGGAGCAAAGGATGACTTGGTTCTGACACTACCTAGAATGCAAAATTTTGTTAGCTTAATTCTAGTGTTTGGGATAGCTCTGAGGGATGGATAGCACATTCTTACTTGGGAAATAAGAAGTGCATTTTCTTACATTTAGAGGGCTTCCTTGTGCCCTTATGGACTGGAATATTATTTTATTCTTAATATTAACATATTTAAAACAAATAATTAAGCTTCTTGTTTCAACTAAAGGCTGGCAGAAGTGTTTCTGTCACTTTCTATCCAAGGATTGTGTGTACATAATTTTCTGTTAGTTAACAGGGTGCAAAATTTGTAATGAAAGTTTACTTCAGTTTTCATCTCTTACATCCTAAATAGGTCAGAGAGAAACGCAGGAGATTTACTCTGAAGTCTTTCCCTCTGCCACCGCATTTTTTTCTTTCCACTGTGCGCTATTTACAGAATTAGGAAGCAGAGTGCACACATACAGGAGCTTTGTATTAGGTAGTACTGGATCATGCCATACATTACTTCTACAGAGCCTCACCATGTGGTATGTGTGAATTAATGCAGAAACTTTTTTACACTCTGCTGTATCTGTTGTGCTTAAATACATTGCCTGTGGATAGTATTCCTTCAGGAAGCTCTTTCAAAGCTCTAGTGTACTTGTGAAACTATACTACAACCAGAATTAGACCACATGTATTATTTTAGTCAGTTGAAGTACACTCCCTGCCTAACACTTAAATATGAATATAGGAAGTTTCTCCATAGATTCGTAGTGGAATACAGTCATTTCAGTGTTGACACGACTCTAACTCACCTGGGTTAGAGTGAGTTAGTGCTCCTGTTCTGTGTGTGCAAGAGACAATAGCACTGGTTAGGGGTAGGTGCTAGCCTCACAAAACTTTGTTTAAACTCTTTGTCTTGAGACATTGTAGAGCTAAGGCTTCAAAAATACAGTTTTCCAAATGTGAGTATGTATACCTGTGAAATTTTACATTAATTAAAACACTAATTATGCCTCATTCTCACTTGAATAATAACTTTATATGTATTCAGTATTTTCTTCTAAAGAGTCCTTAGTAGCAAAAATGTGCTACATACCTTCTCTCTGTTATGAATTAAATATTTTAAGAAAAGAGCAAAGGATGAATAGACAACCTGGCTGTACCAGGAGATTTCAGGCTGTGAGCAGGGCTGCTTTTGTCAATAAAAGTGAGTTGGAAGATGATCTTTCTGCCCTCTTTGGTTCCCTGTTTCCCTGGCAGATTGCTAGATAGAACTCCATATCCAAGTGCCCCACAAACTTGATAAAAATGAGCTGGATTGCAGAGCCCTACAGTGAACTTGTTTAGAGGAGCCTAACCTGTTTTGGCTCAAGTGTCATAGGAAAGAATCATAGGAGCACCTTTGCCATCTGGGTAGGTTTTAGCAGAGAGAAAGCAAGCTGGGATTTATAACTTCTGCAGACACTGCCAGGGGCACATCTGTTTGGAGTCTTGCTGTTATACTACACAGGGGAACAGATCATGATTTTTATGGGACACAGCATACAGAACAGAACTAAAATCTGCTCTCAAATAGCCGTCTGCAGGAGAAATGATAAATCTCTTCTGCAGAGAGAACTTCAAAAATATTTTTAATTAACTTGTAAAATTTACTAAGCAATGCATACACAATAGCATAGAGACATTTGCATTTGCAAGGCATGAATCTTTTCTGCAATAGGAATCATTCTAAAGCCAGAGACCAAATTCAGGTTCTGGTATTCAAATTCTGGTTCTCATCCAAAACATCACATTCACTGTGTCAGTAGGAATTATCATGGTGGAGTAGTCCAACTATCAGTGTAGTTCACTGTTCTGTCTTTTTCTGCAGTATCCTGGAGTGTATAGAACTGTTACACTGTGCCTTAGAATAGGTTGCAGAATTTCTTCTGATCCCTGTCCATGGCTTGGGGAATGAAAATGCATTACAAATTTGTTTCAAATGTATTCAGGTCTTCTGCTGATCAGTCTCTCTATTCTTATTCTTATTTATGGTGTTTGAATGGTGAGCAATCATGTGGAAAAGAGTTTCAGAAGCTGTGTAAAATGCTGTGTAAAATACATGTAGTTTTATGGCAGATTAGCTAATCAAATTTTCTGATACTTATAGCAACATGAAAAATAGGCACAAATAAAATACTTACATCCCAAATAGATCCATGTCATTCTTTCAAAATATGTCCTGATACCTTTAAGCCACAGATTAATTAGTGATTTACATTTCAGATAGTTGTAGTTTCTATTCATTGGTCCTTATACCTGTTAATACTCTCACTCAAGAAGGACCCCAAGAGAGAAACAGATGAGCTGCATGAATACATATCAGATCCTGGAGCCCTGAGTTTTCAGCAGTGCTGTTTCTTGGAGGAACATATGTGTAGTTCATGTACAGCTGTTTCAACTGTTTAAAACAACCCAGTCCTTGAAATCAGTATTTCTTATATTCTGCTGAGATAGCTTTTAAGCAGATATTATTATAGTTCAATGCCAGGAACAGGGCCTTGGGGAAGGTAACTGAATGATTTTTCATTTGGCTTCCTTAGCCTGTCGTCTTTGATTCTGGTCTCAAAAGGGGCAAGTCATTATCCCACCTGGTATTTTTAAGTTCATGCATGGCCCATGTGTCTAGTTTTACTTTGGTATTGGAAACTAGTAGTTTACCCACTAAGTTTTTTTTTTAATCTATTTTTCTAGAACTGTTATATAAAACATAGTAACTCAGTGTACTGCCAAAATGCAAATGAGTTTATCTGGGGTAAAACTGATCTCCCTTTACCCTTTGTCCTTTCTGGTCTCTGGCACTCTATGACAGAGGACTTTAGCCTCTGAAGTGTTTAAGCCTACTGATTGTAATGCAGATTTCCGTATTCAGTTCTTGGAAAAGTCGTGGATGATCATCTTGCTGATATTTTTTTTACAGATATGATTTTTTTTTTAGGTGTTATTTTTTTACTTGATTGTCTCCATTTTTTTCCTTGAGAGTCAGCCTTTCATCACAGAAGATATAGCAGGAAGGTTATTTCTTATTCCTTCTGTTTCTGGACTTTTATGGAGAAGTTGTCTCAATGCCACCTCTGTGCCACACAGTGTGAGATGGCCTATACTATACCTTTTGTCATGTTTTTGCTCTGAAGCTGTGGAGTGGCTCAAAGTAGGATTGTAAAGGTATGAGATGCTGCATGCTGCATTGGACAAACACAAGCTTGCTATTTGAGGCAGACCAGGTAATCCATAAACAAGTTCACCATCTTTGGTGTCAGAAGAAGGTGAATTAACAGGGCTGATCTCAAAAGTCTGTTTTGTTCAAGCTGTACTTTAGTTTAATTGGGCTCTTTGGCTCACTTTCTATGCTTCCATTGACAGCAGGCTGTCTAGTGAATGTTGTGACCTGGTGAAAATTATGTAGAATTAAGTATGGGACTGTTTTTTAGGTTCTTTATTATCCAAAGACTGTAGTGGACTCTGGGATGCTTTTGTCTGAGGACTGAATTTTTGAGAAAGTTGGGATAACTGGGCTCTGTGATGAGCCTAGGACTGACAGGAGCCAACGGTGGTGAAAGAAATAAGGATGATGTCAAAGGAAAGAGTTGCATGGCTTGAATTTTTACTGGAAAAGGGCAATGACGTAGTGCATTGGATGCAATGAATTTGCTTGGTAATCTAATTCTGTGACTGGTGAGAAGATGGTTGTCTTTTATAAGCAATTGCTTCCCCCTGCTGTCTTCCATACAACTGCAGCTTAATTTTACCAAAAGGCTCCTCGCACTTCTTTACATAAGAATAACTTCTATATGTTATTGTTTGAGATTGATCTGTTTGTTTGGAATACGAAAATTCCTTAAAACTGAATGAGTAGGTGAATAGAAGGTGTTTTCTGTTTTGAAAACTCTGTTTCTTGTATGACTGGTTGTAGCGTTTGCATTGCCAGGCAGTCCCAGGGAAGCAGGGGAACAAGAATCATGGGGAAAAGCTCACAGAAGATTAATCTCAGGTCTGTCCTACTGGCAATATATCAAGCGCTAGTTTCACTGAATCTGGCCTGGTTACAACTCTAAATTTTTAGCCAGATGTGTTTAAACACCCATTTTGAGCCACTGATTTTAATTTAATTCCCTTTCATCTTCTCTGCTGTTGTTGGTTGTCAGGAAATGAAAATCATACCTAGTTTTGCGAGATTTTCCAGGTAATTGTCCATCCTGGGAGATAGCAGCATTTGCTCTCTGGGAAGATTAGCCAAATGTTTTGCTATTATCTCTCCAGTGTGCAACAAGGCAGAAAACAATGTTTTTGGGTGGGTTTTTTGTTGGTTTGATTTTTTTTGTTTGTTTGTTTTGTTTTGTTTTTATTTTACTCGGATGGAAATGATTTGCCTTTATGGATAGTCTGCCTCATGCCACTGAATCCTCTGCTTGGTTAAACTTGTATTCTGATGGTAGGTGTGTATGACTTGGTCCAGAATGAAAAAGAAGCCCTTCTTAGTGAAATGACCCTGAAACTGCACAGAAATGTTAGGAAAAAGCCCAGAGAGGCAGTCACAGAAGTTTGAAATAAGTTTAATAGTCAGTCAAAACCAGAATTCAGTCAGAAGCATGGTAAGATATGGCTTACATTTTCAGCTTGCCTGTTGTGAGAAATGCTGGAACACTTATTCATATTAAGAACATGTTGTAGGGGTGTGTGTATATATGTTATATGCTTCACCAAATCTTTGAAAAGCTTTTTCAGTAAACATTTTACCTCTGTAGCAACTCATATCTTTGTTGGATTTTGCTAAATATTGCAGCTGTGATGGGAAAAGTTAGTGGTGTAGTCATCGAGAGTTAGTAAAAAATAAATATGAAGAAAAAAAGAATGCATTGCTAGCTACAAGATAATTAAGCCATGGAAAAGAAGAGGAAGGGAATATAATCTAGAGGGCATGCAGAAAAATGGTTGTGTGTCCTTGACTGCTTGTCCATTTACCAGTAAGTCATTGACTGTAACCAACATATAACATGCAAGGTGATCGTGACCTTATGCAAGTTTAAGTAAAATTTGTTTAGTAAGTTTTGTGCACCATAGATAGGCAATGGAGAGTTTGATGGTCTGAATCAAAGTATCTTTTAAAAATGGTATAGTTCTGTTGATTTTGGGAGCTGTACAGAATCTGTATAAAAGTGTACCCATAATGACAGATAGAAGAGTATTGCAGCTATTTGAGACCATATAATGCAACATGATACAGAGATGAGATATCGAAGGAAGAATTCTTTTAAATTACCAGTGTTGTTTGAAGTTTCCTTTGAGTATCCATAACACAGTCTAAAACACTAAGCTGATTGCTTACACATACAAAAATATAAATCTATCAGTTAAAATTTTAAGTTGTACCAGTTATTTAATTGCGGAAGTTGTCAGGACTATCCATTTTTGTACACAGAACAGGAAAGAGTATATAGAACTGTGTATTTCAGTAGGTGACATGGCATGCTTACAGTAAATACATATCTCACTAACAGGTTTTTTTTTTGTTTGTTAGTGGTTTGAATTATGTTGTTGTTCATATGCTTATATGCTGCATGCTACTAGGTTATATGCTAATTTATGTGGCACAACAGTGCAACAGAGAATGATTTTATCACTTATTTTCTTACCAGAGGAAGCTGTTAAATGATTGATTTTTCAGGTTACATGGAGGTTTAGTCATATAATTTTTAATAAATGGTGGAAGTACTTTTTAAGCAATGGATACATCTGTGTAACCAACAGAGGCCAAGGAAGTGGAGGGAGAGTCATGATGCTAATTTCTTTTTAGTTACAAAACCAAAACAAAATATGCCAAAACCTTGAATTTATGTCTTGTATTTCAAGTATAGTTATTTACTTGTTTTGGCACCCATAGTGTATTACCTACAACCTTTAAAATTCTAAGAAAGGACTGTGTAAAAAGAGGCTGGAAATACCATGAAGTTCCCTCATTTTCTGTTGTCTAAGTAAAGACAGGAAGTAGTGAAACTGGGACTTACGTGAGGTGCACCTTATGACACCAGTTGTGCTTTAAAATGTGCCAGAACAGTTCTCTTTCAGAAATTCTGAAAGAAAACGTGTCACTTTCATGATTGTATGTCTTAGCTATTCCCAGATTTTGATATACAGCATCACTTTATGTAAGGTTCTAAGGCCTCTTCCATTCAAACACAGTTTATTTGGTTTGGGAATACTTGCCATGTGTGTGCCAAAATAAATAGGGTTTGTCAGCCTTCCAGCTCTTACCCTTAATCTAAATAAGCTTTTGTGTGCATGTTTCTGTATATTCAGGGGAGGGAGAGGAGTGAATACTCTTTCACCTGTGGAATTACTGATACATGATATTAAATTGAACTCCTTCTTTTCTGTATTAAAACATATTATACTTATCTAAAGGCTAAAATAAAATATATACTATATGTAAATTAATATATATATAAAATAATATATATGCAAAGCTAAAATATATATATAGACATAACTAAATGTAGAATGAATTATTTTAATTTATTTTTATTTATTGTTAGTATAGTAGTAGCTGTCTTTGTTTTTCCTTTTACCAAGGTTCACAAGGGAGAATATTTTTATACTTTTTCATGAATAGTTGCTATTATTGAACAAATGGAATTACAAGAATAAACTACTACACAATAAATTCTCAGGAATATATTGAGTATATATTTCAATATTGTCATAAGGAAATCAGTTGAGAGGAACTTGCTTTTGCAGGTTTATAAAAAAATTCAAATTTCATCTTTTCAAAGACCACTATGTTTTCTCTAATCTTAATGCAGTTACCAAGAAGAGCACAAAAGACAGCACAAAAGACTTCTCTGGCTATAGTGGGTTGGAAGAGGTGATAGAGAGTTAGACATAACTTGGTTGTAACAACAGTGTTTGCCTTCAAAACACAGGGCAATGATCCTCTCATATCCTCTTGTTACAATTTTCCACATAAAAAACAAGGAAAAAAGCCAGAAACATTGACATCAGTGACAGTAAGTAAGCTTCTGGATTGACTGTTCTGTTTTCTTTGTTGCAGAATTGCAACAGTGCTTCGAAGAATTCTGCTTCCAGTTGTGACAGAGAATCACAGCAAGTATTTCTTTCGTATTTTATGTAGCAGTGTCACATCTTGCCTTGGTGGGTTTAGATTTTGTTATTTGTGGTTGTGATTTCTGAGTTCAGTCTTCTGCAAGACATGACCTGCTATGCAACTACCATTTTACAATCTCTGTCTGAGAAAACAACTGGGCATATTTGCTGAGCTTACTTTGTAATTTAATGACTAGAATCTTTTGATTATTCTGTTAAGACAGACAAGGTGAGATTGTGCCCTTAACCTGGAAAAGAAAGAAAAGTTAAAGTAAACAGTATCCGTACACTAACCTGTGAAATTAATTGGATTATATTCATGTCTTGCAGTCTGGGGACTGGTTTTAGATTCGTGTCAGTGTTACTCAGAGCAGATTTCAAGATCTGCAATGTTTTACAGATCACTGGTGAATCTACCAACTTGTAAAGCATTTGCGGAATTCTACAGAGAGATGTGTGCAGACATAAGTACCTAGAAGTTTCCTATTTAACTCCCAAATTTGTTGTGCTGGTATTTGCCAAAAGTGCTTGTATTCATTTTAGTGCTTTTCCACGTTACTGGTTGCAGAGATTTTTTCACTGTGATTTTGATGTGAAGAACTCTGATTTTTGGATAACTCAGTTTGTGTTCTGAACTGAATAATTTGAGCTCTGTAGGCATTTAATGAGTTGTAATTGTAATGAAATTATTGGAAACATCTGATGCTTGTCTGTAGGAGTTCAAGTTGCAGTTTCTTTTCATTAATATGCTATGTTTGTTCTTGGCTGCTTTGCTGTGAACTGCCATATCTAATTTCTTCACAGAAGTGTGGACTTTGATCACATTATGGAAGAAGGCTATGAACTTGACCTCACTTACATCACAGAGCGGATTATTGCTGTATCTTTCCCTGCTAGCTGTTCTGAGGAAACTTACCTCCACAATCTACAAGATGTAACCCGAATGCTCAAATCCAAACATGGCAATAATTACTTGGTATGTGTAAGATGAGTGTTTTGTGATACATCTTCTTTTGTCTACACAGGAAGGCTACTGGTAGGTCCACACATACCATTATAAACTAGACGTTATTCTTTGGTCCATCTTTACAGCCTTGCAAGCAAGTGCAAGATTTTCAGTAATGTTTTAAGCTGCTAGTCAAGAACAGATATTGAAAGCACTCTTTTGCTGGGGCACTGCAGTCTCTTTGTAATAACACATAGTCAAACACTGTAGAATGATTGCACTGACCATTTTCATTGTCCAAAGTATGCTTTTAAAAAATACACACCCTGCAATGTGGAGTGTGTTCTTTTTTCCTAACAGCCAGCTATCTCTGGTTCCTCAAGTGGGCATCTGATAGTCTCTCACCATCATGTGTTCACTGTCTGTCTCTACCGTATACTGTGAAACAACATGTAAAAGTAGGATTGCTGTTGGTGTGTTCTCAGATCTTTCTCATTAACTTGCTGTAGATGCGTATTTTTACTGCTGTTTAGTTTTCTATAGGAAATTAAATTTTAAGCAAATCTATAATGATCCTTGTGTGCAGATTTTTTTTTTAATGATAACACAAGCTATTAATCTCCTGTGTTGTTTTCTGGCTAGTGCCATGGCATGTGTTGTCTCAGCTTGTTCTATGAAGGTGAATTTAAAACAAGACCAACATTTTATTTACTTTTTTCCTTCTACTGTCTTTTTAGTTAGTGTGTATAAACTCTTAGAGTAAAATCTCTGACTTCAGGAGCTTGAACTTTACTCTCAGTAGAAATTAGTTTCTGGAGAGATTCCATCTAATGATTTCAATACATTATCTTTTTGCTCACAACCCAAAATGTCATAGGTGCATTATGAACCAGATTGTCCTCAAGATGCATGTGTAATACTTGTGCCGTGGTCTGATGCCCTCAGCATGCTGCCTTGGTGCCTTTCACTTCCCTTCTGTCAGACACTGGTAGCTTATAAGGCACAAAATAGTAATAGTTTGAAGATGTATATAAAGCTTCTGTATGTAAAACAGTACAGGTACAAATTCAGCTGTTCTCAGTGCTCTTTTCCATGGGACAGCAGTGTAAGCTTGTAAGTCTCAGTCTAGTTAAATCTCAATACCTGTTTGTATTACAAAAATCTGATATATGGTAATTCTTGTTTAGTATGTCCTCTCTCTGAGAGGGAATGTAGTCAGTTTCTCTTGCAAAGCTGGAATTTTTTTATTTGGTTTTGGTTTTGTTCTATTTATTAATTTATTTTCTAATGAACATTTTGGAAATCAGCTGTCTTGGTCATAAAAGACCTTGATGCCATCTGCTTCAAGTATGTTTTTGTGAATTCACAAGACAACCTGACAAACCACAGCCAGGTTGTAGGTTCAGAGCTTGTTTTTAAACTCTTTTTTTCTTATGTTTTGAATACCTCTTCAACCTGCTCAAGAGGCACATGTATATCAGCAAAATCCTGGCAAGAATACTCTTGAACAGACTAATACCCACTATAGCAGAAGGAATTCTACCTGAAAGTCAATGTGGTTTCAGAGGCAACAGGAGCACCACAGACATGGTATTTGTCCTCAGACAACTGCAAGAGAAGTGTAGGGAACAGAACAAAGGTCTCTGTGTAACCTTTGTCGACCTCACCAAGGCTTTCAATACTGTGAGCAGAAAAGGTCTATGCAGATTTTGGAATGTTTAGGTTGTCCCCCTAAATTCCTTAAAATGACCATCTCCCTCCATGAGGATCAACACGGCCAAGTCAGATATGGCCATGCACTTTCTGAGCCCTTTCTAATAAAGAATGGTGTGAAACAAGGCTGCATTCTAGCACCAACTCTATTCACAATCTTTTTCAGCATGATGCTCCAAAGGGGCATTGCAGACCTCGATGATCAGGACGGTATCTACATTCAATACCGTACTGATGGAAGCCTTTTCAACCTAAGGCGACTGAAGGCCCACACCAAGACCTTAAACCATCTTGTCCAGGAGCTGCTTTATGCTGATGACACTGCCCTTGTTGCTCACACAGAAGCAGCTCTGCAGCGTTTAACATCCTGCTTTGCAGAGGCTGCTGAGCTCTTTGGGCTGAAAGTCATCTTTTAAGCTTCTTTAGAAGATAGAAGTTCTCCATCAACCTGCACCTAAGGAAGTCCCCCATCATCCCCACATCACCACTGGCAAATCAGAGCTCAAATCAGTCCAGCAGTTTAATTACCTAGGTAACCTCATCTCCTCGGATGGTAAGATCGATGGGGAGATAGACAACAGGTTAGCAAAGGCATATAGAGCTTTCGGAAAGCTTCATAAAAGAGTTTGGTGAAATAAACACTTGAAGCAAAGTACAAAGATCAGTGTTTACAGAGCCATAGTACTGTTTACTCTCTTATATGGTTCCGAATCATGGGTCATCTGCTGCCACTACCTGCGTCTCCTAGAACGCTTCCATCAAGGCTGCCTCTGAACAATCCTTAACATCCACTGGTCAGATTATGTGACCAATACATCTGTTCTAGAACGAGCAGCAGTCACAGGCATTGAGGCCATGTTGCTGAGAACACAACTGTACTGAGCAGGGCACATCTCAAGGATGAAAAATCACCGCCTCCCTAAGATCTTACTCTATGGTGAACTTGCCAGTGGCTGCCGCAAGAGAGGAGCCCCGAAGAGGAGATACAAGGACTCCCTGAAACAACATCTCAACCTTGGCCATATTGATCAACCTAACTGGTCTACTCTGGCTTCCAATTGGGAGGCGTGGAGACACACCATCTGTAACGCTGCCGTTTCCTTTGAGAACGCATGCAGGATCACTCTTGAGGAGAAAAGACAACGTAGAAAAAATCATGTTTTGCTGAATATACCACCTAAGGAGTCTTTCTGCTGTGCCTTTTGCAATTGGATATGTCTATCTCGTATTGGCCTCATAAGCCACCAGCGTGCCTGTAACAAACGTGGATAGAGCCTTCCTAAATCTTCGTTCGTGAAGCCTAGCCATGATGGGCAAAACAAAAAACCCCCAAAATCTCCTCAGAAGAGTATTCAAGTCAGCAATTCTGCTGAAGTTGATGGGAACAGTTCTGCTCTTTCATTGGGCCAGGGTCTCAACTAGCAGAACATATACTACAAATCGGCATTTGTCATTTTTTACCTAGTTGTTCTCTCTGTGCTGCAGTTGATAGTGAGAACAGAGAAGGGAATGATACACTCAAAGAATTGTGTGAGTGCATTGTTTCCTGTTTGAGTCTGTTTGTTATGAAGAATATGAACAAAAAATCCTAAGTATCTAATTTTCTCTAAGCAGTAGAGGATTATACTTTGATGGTCTGAGATAAGAGTCCTTTATGGAGAGATGAAAGCCTGTCCATAGCTTGCGGTAAATTTTTCTCTGCTTCGTTACTCTAAAAAAGTATCTTCCCTGCAGACTTTGGTACCTAGAAGAAATGTGACTTCTCCAACAGATAAAAATTTAGAAACCGATGCTAATGCTTCTCTTTCTTGTACCAAAATATAAGTAAGTAGACCTAGGATATGCCAAAAAGGGACCAAAAAGGATGCAGTTAATCTTCCACTGTATCATGGCTTAACCTCAGCCAGTAACTTGGTCCCACACAGCCGCTTGCTCGCTTCCCCACCAGTGGGACGGGGGAGAGAACTGGAAGAGTAAAAGTGAAGAAAACACATGGGTTGAGATAAAGACAGCTTAATAGGTGAAGCAAAGGCTCTGCACAAAAGCAAAGCCAAACAAGGAGTTCATTCATTGCTTCCTGCAGCAGGCAGATATTCACTCATCTCCAGGAAAGCAGGGCTCTATTATGTGTGGTGGTGACTTGGGGAGACATCATCACTCTGAATGTCTCCACTTTCTTCCCCAAACTTATATGCTGAGCATGTCATACAGTATGGAAAATCCCTTTGGTCAGTGAGGGTCAATTTTCCTGGCTGTGTCCTCTCCTAACTTCTTGTGCACCCCCAGCCCACTCACTGATGGGGTGGTGTGAGACGCAGAAAAGCCCAGGGCACTGTGTAAGCGCTGATCAACAATAATGAAGACATCCCTGTGTTATTAACACCATTTTCAACATAAATCCAAAACACTGTGAGCTACTGTGTAGAAAATTAAATTACCCCAGCCAAACCCAACACACAGTGACATCTATTTATGGTATATGCTTCCCTTCAAAGACTTCTGTAATGCCTTGATTTGTTGTTGTATGTGAAATGTTGGTTCTTGTATCTTTTGGTCTTTATTCTATGCTGATAGGACTCCTGGAGTATCTCAGCTTCACAGGACTTGGGTATCTTTGAGTTTGACATCTGATCCAGCAATGACAAATACCCATCATGAACAGGGCTGTATTCTGACACACAGGAATTTTAAATTGATCTTAAATATAAAGCAACAAGAAAGATGGATAAAAAAGTTATTATCAAATAGCCCTTTTTTTCCCTGTACAAAATTTTAGGTAATTGATTTCTTAACATAGCTTTTTCACCAATTTTAAGAACTCTGTACTGAGATCCGTACCGAAAACTGCAACTCTTAATTTTTTGGCAAATATTAAAACCAAAAGAAAATTAGAAAAAAATGTCTCATTTGTAGAAGAGACTTTTCTTTTCATTCCTGTTAAATTACTATTGATATTTATGGAAGGATAAGTATAGTCTTATTTATAATTGTTGATATATCTTCCTGATATATCAGAGAATGAACATAAAAATTTTTGATTGTTATTTAGCTCTTCAGGAGTAATCCGTTTAAAATGAAAACAGAAAACTGGAATTTAGACAATGTTTCTCATAATATAAAGAAGTTTTATTCTTTCTTTTGTAGTTTGATCAATGGAAGTGGTGTATACCCTTTATGGTTAATATCATATGTAATTTCAGAAGCTTGTGCAGCTTAAAATAGAAGCTGTTGTCTTGAGTGCCTTGTTAATTTGGGTATTTCTTCATCTGGATAAATTTCTTGCCTAAAAAACGTAATTTTTCCTAGAGGTGCCATAATGTCATACTGTTTCCACTATGTCCATAATGGAGTTGCACATTTTTAAGTACCACATTGGTGAGCAGCAGACACCAGTTTCTAGAAGGAAAATGGTGTAGTTCCTTTAACCTCTTTGACTTCTGGCTTTTTTGGTGAGCCAGCTGAGGTTAATGCCTCAGGTGGTATTTTAGAAAAGCGTTACACTTTAGAAAAGGGTTCTTAAATTGTCCTTGGGTAATAGTAAAATATATAATGGACTTATATTTACTCTATCTCAAATTTATGATCTGTTTATTCCATTTCAAAAGTGTAATGAAACTTTTTCAGTGATTATGTCATGTGTACTTAACTTGTGATGTGAAATAGCCACACTGTGAATCTGCCTCAGTAGCATTGTTTCAGTTCTTCAGTATTGATATTTCAGCTTTTTGTTATTGATACTGATTTAAAGTACTTTCTAATGAAAGAGACAGTTATACTTGTATACACTGCTTTTTTTTTTGTTCATTTTACAGTTTATCTCTTTAACTGTTCCTTATTGAGCACTAGGTGTATGGTAACTTGCTATTTAATGAGTTAACAGAAGAGTTGGAAGATCTCATAGGCTAAGCTATAGTTAAATAGCTATGTCATACCTTCCCTGCAAAGTTTTGACAGAGCAGTAATTTCTTGTCAGGCCCACAAATTCGAATATTTAATGCTGTACCATCCTCACGGACTTTTCATTGTTAATTCTTACACTCTGCAGTTATTTTGCATGGTGCCCAGGTCTCTCACTATACCTCTTACTCAGATAAAACCATACAAAATAAATAAGATGTAGTGGAATTTTAACTGTCCTTTTTCAAAATGTGCACTTAGTTTCAGTTTTAGCTTCAACATATAACAACTGAATACCTAAAATACATTTGCTAGTGGTACCTGACTTCAAATGTTAATTTAGTTTAGTAGAACAGTGGACAAACCTGAAACCATATCACTGTAGTTTCTTGTAGTTTTCATGTTTCAAATACAGCTATTTACGACATAAATTATGGATCTTAATGGTTGATTTTTTCTTTTTTTTTTTTTTAACAGGTATTAAACCTCTCTGAAAAGAGATATGACCTTGCCAAGCTTAACCCAAAGGTATTGATTGTCTTCCATAACATCTGTTTCTAGTGTTAAATAAAACTTAAATGTCTTGGTAAGCCCTGAAGCTATGCAAGTGTTGATATACAGAGTAAGAGAACAAGTTTTGGAAGATGATAAAAAGCCCCACATGCATCCCTTTTTATTTTTTCCCAAGTTATGTTTTGTGTCTGTTAGGTCTGTGTTTTACATACCTGTTCCTGTTGTTTTCTTAGACTTTATACACAGGACCTGTTGTGACTTCTGAAAAACTCCTATTGAATGCTATAAATTTTACTTCAAGTATACTTTCTTTGTGGAGTCACAGGATACTGGGATTATATACTGTAATGTACAATCAGATAACTGAAGCTAAAAGAACTCTTAGTTTTAACCTTTTCAGTGCTTTATTGATCATAAAGGATTTAAATTGTTCATGGTTACTGGGTTACTGGTTTTGTTAGTGTTAAATATGCATATAATAATAGGTTGAGTAAACAGTATTATGTAGTGACTAAAGCTGAATAGAAAAAAGGAAAAAAATTAAGATGCCATGTCTGTTACACATTAAGGAAATAAATTTCAAATCAAATGAAACCAATCAAATTAGAACAATCTTTGTTCTAACTCTGACCTTCTTTACTGTTATAAAATACCTGAATATCTAATTGAAAAATCTTTAAAAACTTGAGATCTTCAGAAATGTTGTCACTTTTAAGTGGTTGGTGGGATTGTGGGGGGAGCTTTTTGTTTATTTTTATAAAATACCAGAATCTTAAAAACAAATTCCCTTCTTCCCCTTAAGAGACCTGTAAGCATCATGGCATTTGAATGGCACGGTTGTCTGGGATTGGAAGAACTGTGGAGACTTTGAACCATCACAATTATTTGAATCCAGATTATAATATGTGATACTAGGGTCAAGGTGTCTCTTGTAAATATTACTTGTTTAATTGCAGATTATGGATGTGGGTTGGCCTGATCTCCATGCTCCGCTTCTTAATAAGGTGTGCACCATCTGCAAGGCTATGGAATCATGGCTGAACAATGATCCTCAACATGTGGTGGTAATACACTGCAGAGTAAGTGAGCCTTTTATATACACATAGTTCGTATTCATTTTCAAAAACATTATTCTTACTCTTTTTAAAAAATAATAAGTTTGATCTGTTTTCAGTGTTGGAAACAGTATGCCAGATCTTCAGTTGATATAAGTATGCTTAAATCTACTAACCTTGCATGCTTGTTATAGATTGCTTTTTATGATGACTAAGATCCTAGCCCCTGCTGCAGATACAGCATGCAGTGATGTTAGCTCACATCCTGCAAAGGTCACTGTTACTTCTGTGGGCGTATTTAGAAGCTTGAGGTTTTTCCAGCTTTATAGGAAACTCCTTAGAAGCTCTTCATGTTCTGTGATGTTCATGAATTTTGTTGTGGGACAAGGTTTTAACTGGCAGCATCACTGCGATGCATTATAGCAAAGCTACCAGTATGCTGTGAGCTTCCCCTTCCATGCTCACAAAGAAGAGAAATAAAGAAAAACCTTAGTTAAATGTGGATAAAATGAATTCAGAACTGAGTTGGTAGCTATGCTGGTGACACTTGAGGCAAACCTGTCTCTCTATCACTAGCAGATGTTACTCTAAACAAAATGAGCGTGATAATATTACCAAAACTTCTCTTCAAGTCAGGTTCTATAGTCCCCAGTCCTGAATTTCTTACAGGCAGAATGCCATTATTGTATGAAACGCTTGAAGTCTTACTAGTTTGCAGGACTACTGCCAGGAGTAAGGGCCATTCACAGGACAAAAGAAAAGGGAACAAAGTATTTCTAGATATACAGTTATATACAAATTGATAATGCATGTTGTTGATTAATGTCTTTTGGTAATTTTGGTTTCCACCTGCAAAGATAGATACAGCCAGCTATGTGTATCAGCTGAGAAACTGAAAACATTTTGAAATCCATGAGAATTACTGCTTAGTAGATTGTACTGAATTTGTCATGTACATTTATTTAAAATTACTTTGGAGCATTTTTTAAATTATCCATAGAAAATTAGTTGTAAATCTCAAATGTTGGGGAGGTAAAAATGCCTGAACCTGTTAGAAACTCGTATTCTTTCCAAAATAGGTAATTTATAGCATTTCATGCTGGAAAGTGCAACATTGTCTAAACTTGTTGTGAATGATTTCTGGGAAAAAATAATAAAAAATTAGAATAGTTGACACAATTTTTCTGTCCCCCCCCCCCCATTCCTTTAAATCAGTAAGACTTGACAGGCATGCTCATAGAAATCCTATTTAGTGGGTTTTTTTGTCATTTGTGAGCCAGCTTGCATTGACAAATAAGCTGCTGCCCATTTTTTCCACCTTTCCATCAACAAAGGGAATGCATGAGTAAAAGGACTGACTGAATCTCTTGTCTTAAAATTGTATTTACTATGGGTCTTAAATAAAATAATGCCCATTCATGTAATAAATAAGTTATCATTCCCTTTTTCCCAATACAGGGGGGAAAAGGAAGAATAGGTGTAGTCATATCATCGTATATGCACTTCATCAATGTTTCTGCAAGGTAAGTGTGAATAATGCATGTTGTGTGTTTTTTACAATATACATAAGGAAAAATGCCTTTTAGTTGAGTAGTCTCTGTCAGTTTGTCAATTAAGGTTTGTCAGACATTCCTCCCAAAGAGTCTTGGAGCATGTCTTAACAGAGCCTGCTTTCATGACACACTGCTCTTGTAGTCCTGTTTTCAGTAGGAGGTTGGACTAGGTGACACCCTAAGGTCTCTTCAAAACTGAGATTTTTAATGGTTTGCAGGAAACTTCTAAAGGGTGTTTCAAGATGACCTCTTTTGAATCAGTGAGAAATTATTCTTAAAGTACTTAAGGAAAACAGATATTAGAATCTGGACACAGTATTTGAATAGAAAATTCCTAGACATTGATCAAAGTGCAGAATGCAGTTTAAGAAATAATCTAGACTTTATTTTGATTTTTTAGTTGATTCGTTTGGAATGCTCAGATTATGAAATGGCAATTGATAATTTGTCAACAAGGATAAAATTTAATAGATGGTCTCAAAAAGGATGAAATGTGTTTCGGAGGGGTTTGTTGGGTTTTTAATCACATCGTTTTCCGTTGGTTTCTTTTATATATATGCACGTACATAAATGTATTACAATAAAAATGCCCTCTAACTGCCATGGTTAAGTCAAATTTGGTTCTGAATTCACACCAGCCTGTCAGTAATAGATTTGATCCACTGCTGTAGTTGATGGGGTCTTAAATCACTAGAGGTTGATGGCAAATTACTCATGGATTTCATGAAAATGAGAATCTCAGATAACAATCTGTGCTCACTAGGGTAAGCCCAGTCGAGAGGTCATTATAGACCAAGAAGCCAGGTGCATTGTATACACCAGTATGTGCTGAAAAAAGTACTTGAATATTTTCAAGTAGTAATTGCAACAGTGATTGCCCCAATTTCATAATATTTTGTTGAGAAGCATTGTGAATGACAAAATCAGTCAAGTAAGAGTAGTACGGTACTGTGGTGTGATCTCAGTGTTGCAATATTATGTCATCCTTAAAGGTGGTACCTGGCAGAAAATTACTATGGTTGCAGCTGTAGAGGGTGCCAGCTTCTGTGTCAGAAATGGTACTCAGAAGACTTTGATGTTCATGCCAAATAAAATTCCTGATTTGTCAGCATGCACATATCTCCTGCTTCTGTCCAGGGCAGTGTTAATTTTTGCAGAAGCTAGAAGAGGACAGGGGTAAGGGAGTCTCTTTGGGGGAGAAGGGGTTCCTTCTGGTCAAAGTGTGGTAGAGGGAGTGGTGCAATGGCACCAGTTCTGATCTGGAGGGAATGGTTGGGTAATGCTGGTTCCAGGCTGGAGGGACCAGCTGGGTAAGGCCAGTTCCAAGGGTAACATGTTGGAGGGGGTGATTGGGTATTGTCTCTTGTTGGGTTTCTGAAATGAGCAATAATATTTCTTTTCTAGTACCCTCTCATAAGTATTGTTGCTGCTACTGTTCATTTTCTGGCAACATGCCAAAAAATCTAGGCATAGTGAATTTAGGCTTAACACCTTTCCTACGAAGACAGGCTAAGAGGGTTAGGGCTGGTGTTGTTCAGCCTGAAGAAGAGGAGGCTCCAGGGAGACCTTCTGGCTGCCTTCCGGTGCCTAAAGGGTCCCTACAAGAAGAGTGAAGTAGGACTTTTGACAAGAGTATGCAACGATAGGGGAAGGGGGAATGGCTGTAGACTGAAGGAGGGTAGATTTAGTTTAGATATAAAGAAGGAATTCTTTACCATGAGGTTGGTGAAGCACTGGAACAGGCAGTCCAGAGAGGTTGTGGATGCCCCATCCCTGGAAGTGTTCAAGGCCAGGCTGGATGGGGCTTTGAGGAACGTGGTCTAGTGAAAGGTATCCCTGCCCATGGCAGGAGGGTTGGAACTACTTGATCTTTATGGTCGCTTTGAAGCCAAACCATTCCATGATTCTATGAAAAAACCTTTAATGATGTGAATCTATTTTGGTTATGTCTTATAATATCTGATTTGTCTCATTTAAGAAGGAATAATGTGTCATCAAATTTAGTGAAGTCAAACAGAGCTCTTTGTAATTGTTGGTAAACTCTGTTTTAACACGCAAATGCAGTCTTTGGCCCGTTAGGAATGGGTTGCCTAAATTCTGAATGGTAGTTTGGATGAAGATATATGAAGATATATGATGGATTGGGTGAGAAAAAGTTTTTAGGTCAAGTACACACTGTGTAATCTTTAACATTCATAAAGAGAAGGTTTGACTTTACAGCCTGTCAAGACAATTGGCAACTTCTAAATAATTTTTGGAAAAGGCATAAACCACTTATTTTAAATAGTCTTTTCCTTGGTGGCTCAGGGCACAGCAAACAAAGACTGAATGAATTGTTGACTGCTTAAATGATCCGCTAGCTGGGTACTATAGTTCTTTTTGAAAAAGAGAATAAATTTTTATTTTGTAGAGAAAAGTCCCCAGTGGTACTGGGAGGAAATTATGGCAAGTATTCTTCTTTGGGAGCTTGAGCTGCTTGGCTTTGCCCAAGTTCGTTACATTATGACTTTAACATATTCATGTTGCATGTATGCAATCCAGTTAATTGAATAAGAGGGTAGGTGCTTTGCCTCAGGAAGGAAACTGCCTTAATGTGTCGAATGAGAAGGTGTCAGTGGAAAAAATGTTGTTCACAATGTCCAAAGTGCTGAAGTTGCTAGTTAGGTGCTTCTTTTTTTCCTTGCTTCCCTCCTTTTTGTCTTTCAAATATTTTTGCATATTTCAAGCAGTAACCTGAAGAATTTCCAAGAAAACACCAAGGCAAAATGACATGATATCTGTGTCTCTCTTTTGACAGTGCTGATCAGGCTCTAGACAGATTTGCTATGAAGAAATTCTTTGATGATAAAGTTTCAGCTTTAATGCAGCCATCCCAAAGAAGGTATTCAATTTGCTTCTGATTCATACCAATAAGAAATGTCATCATTATCTTCTGCTCCCATCCCTTACTCTCTCCCATGCTATGTGAAGACTATTTCCACAAGATCCTCCGATGCTTCCTGAACTCTTAGCACTTTATCTTATGTTAATATTCCTTGATTGATGAGATCTCTCCTTCAGATCCTGCATGTAGACCAAGACAGATAAGATCTTTTGTACCACACTGTTATCTGAGTTCTTAACTGCATTGTTTGTTAATAAAAAGATGTCACAATCTGTTTCTTGATTCTTCCAAGATAATAGTAAACTCATTGTGACATAAATGATGTGTATGGAATGTGTGCTGATTAGTGTGCAATAAGGATCTTAGTAATACTTGTTTAGAGGATCTATAGATAATGCATTTGCCCCATCTCCATGCTAGTAAATGTTTGTCAAAGCAGGCCTTATTCATTATGTCTATCTGGATGTGTTACCTTTTCAGTCTGCCTAAATAAAGTTGAGTTAGGACTCAAAGTAATAAAACATTTTGGAAAGTGAATAGATCTGGAGTTTGCTATTTACCTTGTTTTGATGAGAGGTAATGAAGGATTCAGTACCAGAACAGACTGATATCCATCAGAGTAATTGTGATATAGGTGAATCTTCTTCTAGAAATATAAAATATCAACTGGATTTGATTTAGTAATTACTGTTCATTTATTTTTGTATTAATCCACATGTATGCAGTAGGTTTTTTAGAAGTTGTTTAAAGTATAAGCCTTTGCTAGTAATTAAAGCAGAAAAATCAGTAGTAACAACTAGAGTAAGGCATTTAGTTTTGTTATCTCTAAATAAGAAAAATTTTTCTGTTAGTTTTTGAACCTATTTGTTGGCATGCACAGTTATTTTTAACTTGAAAAATAGTAACACAACATTCCATTAGACTTGAAATAAACTTCATAACTAGAAGTTTAGTGGCCTTTTTTGGTTTTAGTTTTATGTTTGCATATATGTGTATTGCATTTGAATAAGAAGAATTTGAGAATGCTGCCTACCACAAAAGGAAATGTGAACCATAGCAGCAAAAGGGAATAGATGTTGTTAATCTTCCCATCAAGAAGCCTCACGCAGCAGGCATATTTCAGGGAGAGCCAGGAACCGTCACAGGAGCCTGTGAATTGTGCATGAGGGTAGTTTTTTCAACCATGTTGACAGGAAGCTTCAATAGCCACTAACTTAAGTGATCTGTATGTGAGTCCTAAAACTAGAGATTAAATAGGTGTAAATAGTTGCATTTATCTTTTCCTACCTTTTTCAAGGACACTTGCTTAATTAATTTTTCTGGGGGGGCAAGGGAGAGGGTCTCAGAGATACTCAGTTCACCTCTTGACTGATGTGATTTATATCTTTGCTCAGCAGTACTGAACTTGAGCTGCTCTTACTGTCTTCCTGACACATACACTTACAGACACTTTATTTTGGAGAGTTATTTCCCATGAGAACAGAGGAGGTTCTCCAAACCATTGGTCAGAACCATTCTCCTCCTGAATATTGCCTCTCCTACCTTTGCCTGGCCTGCCGGTGGCTACTAATCCTATTGCAGGGAAAACCAATTCTAATATTTTTGGATAATTTTATAACCCTTTTTTTTGTTCCTGTTCTGATCAGTGAGTGGCCCGAATCACCTTTTTAAAATGCTTTTTCTCTGAAACCATTCCTGGGTAATTAATTAGTGATGTCCTTGTTAAAATCCAGTTGACATATAAATGGATATAGCTTAGGTGGATCTCCATATGATAAAATATGAAAATTCATCCATTAATTGTATTTTGAAAACTTTTCACCAGTAAGTTTTGTTCAGATAAATTGTGGCCATTAAGTGCATCAGTCCTAAAAGTATCACTCAGCTTTTCCCCACTGCTGTAACAGTGACAAGAAAAATAACTATAGACCACATCTCCTATTCTAAATCCATTCTGACAATACTTAAAATGGACACTTACTCTCAGATAAGCAGTTGAAGATTTGCCTGAAGAAGACATGCAGATACATACCCTTCATATGAAAAAAATTTCTCATAAACTTTCAGGATGGATCTTTGAACTCTCTTCTCAAAAGTAAGCCGACTGCCTATCGGCCTCTTAAATGCACTGCTTTGAGAAAGGATTTCAAAAATTCAGTCAAATTTTTGGAATAATTAAAAGCAGGTAGTGGTAGAGAGCAAACATTCAGACAAAACATTTTGCTGCACTGTTTTTTTTGTTTAGGTGTGACAGTTTGTAGATTTGTGCTTTTGATGTACCAAGTACTTTCAGAATACCTTTCTGAAGGAGGAAACCAAAAAGAAAAGTTGCCTTTACTTAACGTTTCAAAATAAATTGAGCTTTGCTAGCTCTCTATAAAATGAAAACTATTTGAAACAACCACAACCCCCATTCTGGTGTAGTAAAGCTGTTGTTGTTGGGCAGAATATCTTTAGTTGTGCAGTATGAGTTCAGTTAATGAGATCTGTGGATAAAGGGGGAAAAAGAGGTGATTTTTCTTTCTTTTATACATTCCTGAGAATAATGTTAAATGATGATCATCTCATAGGCATGGAAGAAAAAGGGACTCAAATCCAGTAGAAAAATTAGAGACTGATTTCCCTTGGTTATTTAAGGAAATAAGAGGAATTTGTTTAATGTACACTTCAGTGATATTCACTTGCATGTATTTGCTCATGAGCTTGTGACTAAACCAGGTGTTAAATAGCAGAAATAAAATGATTTTCACATTGCTATGGTAATTTTCCTCTGTTTTGTGCTGAATGAGATAACTTCTCATTATGAAGATGTCATTGGACTGCATTGCTGATAATGCTAAGATTCCTGACAGGGCACTTCTTGCTCTTATTTTAATGAAGTGATCTTCACTGTAGATGGAGTAGGACCCATATCATACTGCTGTGAAAGCTATTTAAGACCTGCACTTGCAACTAGGAATGTGTACCAAAACAATTGACTTTACTGTATCTTCTAGTTGTTTTCTTACTTAGAGTAGTGATGTAAATAACTAAAATGAAGATATCAACAACAGAAATGCAACAGCCATGCGTTTAATAAAGTGGTAAAGTGTCTTTTAATGCTGTTTTGTGAGGATTATTATTCTGGAGTTATGTGCCATGTCACAATGCTATTCATTATTCATGATCTAGAAATATCAATGTGTAAATAATGTATTTCCCTGATATTACTACTTTTATTTAATTCAGATAAATTTTGTATTTTTAGATACGTGCAATTCTTAAGTGGCCTTCTATCTGGATCTGTGAAAATGAATGCAACCCCTCTTTTCCTGCACTATGTTATTCTTCATGGCATCCCAACCTTAGATGCTGGGGGAGGTAAATTACCTAACTTTTCCTATTCAGGTATAGGATTAAAGTCTTGTTTAATTTTGGAGCTTTCGAGAAAGCCTGCATGAATCTCAAAGTAGAGTATCTTCTTGATATCCATCCAAATATTTCCAATAATGAAACCAGAAGAGAAACATCCTAAGAGTAAAAATTGGAGCAGGTCAAATGAATTTCATGTTCTCTCTTAAATGAAGAGTTGATGCTATTCATGTCTGCCTAGTTTTTGAACAGCTGTGAACCCTGTTACTGCAAAAGATCTGAGAACCTTGTCAGGTTTCACAATAATTTCCTCTTTGTTTAGGAAATAATTGTAAATATAATTTCTTTTCTGTTTTGAGATTGAATTTTCTGTGGAAAAGCTGTTCGGCTATGGTGTGCTTACAGAATTACAGAGTCACAGAATCATTTAGGTTCAAAAAGGCCTCCAAGATCATTGAGTCCAATCTTCGACCAATCATTACCTTGTCAACTAGACCATGGCACTAAGTGCCACATCCAGTTTCTTGAACACCTCCAGAGATGGTGATTCTGCCACCTCCTTGGACAGTCTGTTCCAATGCTTAACAACCCTTTCCATGAAGAGATTCTTCCTGATGTCCAACCTGAACCTTCTCTGATGCAACTTGAGGCTGTGTGCTCTTGTTCTGTCGCTAGTTGCCTGGGAGAAGAGGCTGACTTTGCTACAACCACCTTTCAGGTAGTTGTAGAGAGTGAGAAGGTCTCCCCTTCTTTTCTCCAGGCTAAACACCCCCAGCTCCCTCAGCCACTCCTCGTATGACTTACTTTCTAGACCCTTCACCAGCTTCATTGCCCTTTTCTGGACACACTCCAGCGACTCAGTATCTTTCTTGAAGTGAGGGGCCCAAAACTGGACATAAGACTTGAGGTGTGGCCTCACCAATACTTCTAAGGTGGCTTGCTATACTAAGTGGCTTTAAAAGTAAAATGATAAGATACTGTGCTAGAGCACAGTAAAAGAATCCAACTCTAGTAGTTGGACTGGATGACCTTAAAGGTGTTTTCCAACCCTAACGATTTATGATTCTAAAGCAGCCCTATGAATCTGTATTTTTATTATCTGAGAGTTAAATAGCACTGGTCTTTTAAAATATTATCAGCATGAATTTACAAATATTCATTGTCAATGTTGTTCAGTCTGGTTTTATTTCTAAAATAACTGTTTCAATAAAGTCAGGGTATTGTTTGTTCAAGTAAGAAATTTAAGGGCCTTATTAGTTTCGAAACGAAACTGTGGATCAAATATTTTGTTTAATTTTGAAAACGCTTTTTATTTTTTGGGGAGGTGGTTGGTTTTGTTTTGGCCATTGTCTTACTTCCTTAATAATTTTATTTTCTTGCAGAATTTGTTTCTGTCCTTACCAGAATCCTTTAAAATCCTAATATCCAATTCAGAACTAGTCTGGAGATCAGGAAAAAGTATATTTGTCATAAAATAAAATACTTTTTTAGGGGAAAATGAATCTATCAAAGCAAATTTTGCTTTGAAGGATATTTTTACAGTCAACATTGCACCACGTGTGTGCTGCTTTGCTCAGTCTGGATGTGCATGAAGCTTCCTAGTTGTAATTGTTTTCCTGTATCTAAATATTACTAAACAGTCTTTCTGTTGACTTCTTTTCAGCTTGTCGGCCTTTTCTGAAGTTATACCAGGCTATGCAACCAGTTTATACATCTGGAATATAGTAAGCTGTAAACATTTCCCATTATGTTTGAATTTAGGTTTTAATTTTCATAATTGCAGAATTACAAAGTCTTTTTTTGTTTTTGTTTTTTTTTTTTTTTTTTTTTTTTTTTTGTTTTTTTTTTATTTCTTTAAACCATATATTTTGTTCTTCCTTTCTCTCCTGTTGAGTAGTATAGGGTCAGAAAATCAAAACCGAATCTGCATTGCTATAGACCCTGCCCAGCTTTTGAAGGGAGATATTATGGTAAGCTAATTGTATGGAATGAAAATCTATTAATGTGCCATTTACTTTACAGTCTCTGTTCTGTTTTGTGTTCTTGTAAAAAAATTATTTGAGGAAATGCTTGGAGATGCTACAAAATACATTATTAAGTTAATTCAGTCATCATCTTTGAGTTTCATGGGAATCAAAATTCTTCTAAAACTCAAAACTGGAAGGTTTTTTAGGAGCCAAAACGATTGCTTTCAGCATTCCCATTTCATAGTATCACCAAGTCCAGTAAGGCCTGTATTGCTATCTTCTTCTTAAAGATTACTTTGGGGAGTATTTGTAGCTTGGCATTAAAATTTGTTTGTCCTATAATTTGGCAGACAGTGTGCAAAATTGTAAAACTGTATGTTGTAAAGAAAATACCTAAGTAATTTTAAATTGTTTTGGGACTCACAAAGGTGTGATACCCAACAAAAGCTTTCTGATTCTACAAGCACATGCAATATTTAGAAGGCAATTTATATGTCCTGATATAGTGCATTGCAACACTATAATTTTAAATCTCTCTGCTTTCTTTTTTGATTGTCATATACAGTTAAGCCCAGAGAAAGCAAAGAAAAATAGCTGCTGTGCCTTTCAAGTTGTTAAACTAAAACACGTGGATTGAATGGTGGGGGGAAGCATTGTCAGAGAGTATTCCTGGTCTGTTGCTAGTAGCTTTCACAATGTTTTTTAATGTTATTGACTACTTTTGAGAAATGTTGGACCTAAATATAAGTGGGTCTGTCCTGGTTCCAGCCAGGATATGGTTAACTTTTGCAGTAGCCTGGAGGGGCATGGCTAGGACCGGGAGGTTGTTCTATACCAAGTCACCTCATTTTTTGGGGAGGGGAGAAGGGCTCCCTTCTGTGTTGGGTACTGTGGCAGAGGGTGGGTGGGTGAGCAATCCTGTGAATCGTTAGGGATTTTTTTCTTGTCATTAGTATTTTGCTGACACTGTTTGTTTTACTATCCCATTGCTGTTTGCAGTAAATTGTTTTTATCTCAGCCTGTGATCTTTGTCTTTTGTGCCTCCAGTTCTTCTCTGCAGCCTGCCCCAGAGGGAGGGGGAGGGATCGAGCCATGTGTGGTTTGCAGTGTTTCAGTGGGAACACTGAAGTGGAGAGTACCATTCCTAAACCACCATAGAGTCCTTAGTATCGGATTCTTTTTTTCATCTTCCCTCCCCCATTCAGTTTGAAATAGTGTTCTTTCTTTCTTTCACTGAAAAATGGAGAAACAATTTTTAAATATACTTTTATAAATTGGCTTACTGTGGAAGTTTTGGACAGTTTCAAATTAAAACGTATTGGTGGACTGTTGGTGCCTAAGGAAGTGGAATATATAACAACAAAAATCAGTCTAAGATCCATTCAGTATCTCTCAAATGAGTTTCTTGGAATGAAAAAAGGGTACATAGCTTTTCAGTAATGCTTGCATAATTTTAAAAGAGATCATCTTCATTTATCACATGCTATTATTTGAGCTAATTCTGAGGAAGTAACTGTCTTGTTCAGCATAGTAATATTTCCTAAACAAAGGCTTCACTTAAGTTTTGAATATTTTTTTATTATGTCTAAGCAAAAGCATCAGTGGTATCAGACAAAAATAATAATCTCTAGGATGCTTCACCTCCAGTTCCAAAAGGTTTAACTACTTGAAGTGCAGGGTTTAAAAAAAAGAAAAAAGGAAAAAAAATATCCTTGCTTTAGAGAATTTAATACAATGTGAACAGCATTTGGTGAAACAGCACAGCTGTTGAAAAGCTGCACTGACATCTGTAAATGCGTATAAGTATTTTCCAGCATATTATAGTGGCTTGCATTAATTCTGGATTATGGCATCAGAAGGTAGTGGAGTCAGAATTCAAAGTTACACTTAGACTTCATTGAAAGCTTACAATATGTACTGATCACTAAAAGATATTTTCAGTATCTGTGTATAGATGTACAATATTACTGATTGTAAGAGAGGACATATTTTCATAAACCAGTAAGTTAATTTTAAGCTATACTAAATTAATTTTAATCTTTAATTAAGTTTAATTTTAAGTTAATCTGTGTTAAAATTATCCAAGGCTGTTACTTTGAATTAGAAACTAGAAAGAAGGAGGAACTCCTTCTCTCATTCACCATTTTTATGAACACAATTATGCAAAAGACAGTACATTGTCTGTAAATCCAGCAACTGTGCGAAGCCAACTCTTGACAAGCTGAAGTATAAAATGTATTGTTCAGGTATTTAGTTTTCTGTATCTTCAACAACTGTCATATGTGATCCACATGTAAAAATAGTATGATTGTTTGAACAGCTAAAGAAGTTAATGTTGTAATTTAAAAATTACATTGTGGAGGAATGTATATAACTTTAAAGAAACTCTTTTCAAACTTCTTTTTGCTCACATCATATGATTAAATGGAATTATCACAGTTACTTCCCCACCAATTCTACATTTTGGAGCAGGTTAGTACTCATGCCTCTCATCGGGGCTCTCTTAATTCCATTTTTGTCTATTTTTCACTTCTGGGCAAACTGTCAGTTTTCATCCTTTATGATGATGTTTTGCTTTTACATAGAGTTGCTCAGCGTAGTGGAGAATGAGCATTTAGTTATTCTTGAATCAAGCAGTCAAACTTACTTGTACCTTCCATTTTGATAATTTAAGTAGTGAAGTGATGGTGGGAGTTGTGTTGGACTAAAAGGAAATAGATTCCTTCAATAGGCAGGGATCACAATGTTCACAGTGTACACAAAGTTTCTTTTGGTGCATGTAAAGCACTGTCTAAAATAAGAAGCAAATACTGTTTTATCTGGTATTGGCAATATGCTGTAGGGGGATTATCTTTAAAAAAAAAACGAAAAAACAAACAACCTCCTCACTTTCAGATAAAATAATGATTACTTGCATAGAGAATCTCCCAGCCCTTACAAAGGATTAGAAATATGTAATTTGTGTAGAGAATACCATAAACCATCTCTGGTACATGGGCTGAAATATTTCAGTAGTTGTCCTATGTGCCATGTATATCCTGATTAACTTCTGGAATTTAAGACATCATGAGGTTACTATATGAAGGTTAGAGAACAAGGGCTTGTGTTAGAGTTTTCAAATCCTGTAGTGAGAAGAATTTCATAACTATGTTTTAATCCTAGCTTCCAAAAGTGTCCCTCTTAAACTCCTACATCTTTCTTCTATTGCTTCATTTTGAATAACCACTCTTTAGTTGTTTGGTATTTTCTATCTAGGACACTTTTCTTAGTCTGCCTTTAATAAAAGTGATTTTTGTTGTCTTTTAATACATTTCATTAATATCTGCTTTATCATAAAGACCTGATATCATCAGGATAATATAATAAAATTTTCAGCCCTGTGACTATGATTACCAAAATTTTTATGTATTGTTCTTAGAATACACTGAGTGGCTTTGTATTACAGTTGACTCAGAGAATTAGTTGGTAAAATATCCATAGATTTAATCTTAGGGAAGATGGTGTTAGAGAATATTGTCTTTACTTTTACCTGCTGAAATTCATACTAGATAATTTTATAGAGTTTTGTGTCCTACGCAAGATATCAAAACTGCTACCAACTTCCTGCAGTAACATAAATCAAAATACTGTTATCACTAGAGTAGATTTTTTTAAAAGTCCAAAAATAGATGTAATCAGCTTGCAGGCTTGCTTTGAAAAACTCCTCATACTCTTCAGTTATTTTGAAATGGGTGTACTGAAATTCATTAATTTGGTACTGCGAAGAAGTCTGGATACAGATCAGCATTTCAGTATTGTACTGCCAGGTATTGTGATTCTGAAACATAACCTACTGATCAGTGACTGATAGTGATGAAAACAGCAATTATTATTTCTTATACATCTAGAAATATCCTGCCTTGGGCCTCTGTAATTTTAAAAGATTGAATAATGTATACCCTTCTCGGTTCAACATCAGAGGTGTCTACAGTAAATTGCATTGTGGCTGCTTTAATTAGCAACTAATGCAAGAAAATACGTCCTGACATGTTTCTTTTTATTTCTAGATGAAGTGTTATCACAAAAAATACCGTTCAGCTACTCGTGATGTGATTTTTCGCCTTCAGTTTCACACTGGAGCTATTCAAGGACATGGCCTGGTGTTTGGCAAAGAAGACTTGGACAATGCGAACAAAGGTACTTGTCTTCTGTGGTTGTTTGGATGTGTATGTGGATGGGGATGCAGGTGTGTGCCTGTGCATGGCAATGATCATCTTCAGCACACATTTTCAAAAGGATTATTGGTTGGGTTTTTTTCCCTTCCTTATTTTTAGGGAGACTGCTTTGTGTTAGTTAACTTATAGTTAACTTATAGCACATAACACAGATAAACACAAGAAAACACAGGTAAAGAAAGAAAAGCTCTTCAAGTGAGTCAACCTGTCAAAATACTCAGATTCTCCTACATAGTCCTTATCACCTTCTCTTACATTTATAAAAACAATAGACCTTTGTTTAAATGGTGACACTGCTAGTCACCATTGAAGGAAATAAGATGATGAAAAAAGTCTCTTGCTGTGTTTGTGACATAGTCTGCTTGAGTATGGAGATCTTATAATATGCTTCAGAATATCCAAAAATGGAGATAAAGTTTTCAGACACACTTGAAAATTTTCCAGAATTATAACTTCAGTTTTATAAAAATAAAACATAAAAGTGTTTATATGCAGGACTGTAACTCTCTCACGCTATGTTACTAGCAAGCTAAAATCAAGCATATTGTCCCACATTCAACATATGGCTACACAGAAGTTTTGTGATCAAGTATTGCAGTTTAGCCAATATAGGAAACAATTTTAATTTTCATGGATGTGTTCTTAAAAGCAAAACTCAACCATGTCTGTCTAGAGAGAGGGTTAGGAACTGTACATCTTTTCGGCTTTTGACTGTTCTTGAAAGTAAACAAAACTCCAGCTGGCACTTATGTGATCTTTTCTGGAGAACATGTGGCACAAAGAATGTGATTTTTAAAAGCAAATCACTAAACTGCAAGTGAGAAGGGAAGAGTGATGAGGGTATGTGTATAGATAGCTATAGAGAATCCTGATTTCTGAGTGCTCTGAAGCTGCCCTCCTGGAAGACAGCCTGTTGAAATCCTATCCTTTGTTTTCAGATGACCGTTTCCCGGATTACAGCAAAGTGGAATTAGTGTTTTCAGGAACTCCAGAAAAAATTCAAGGTGAGTATACAGAACAAAAAGTATGCTTAGTTTGAAAATAAATAATACTGAAATACGTACTTAAAAAAAATTCTAAATCTCTTGTAGGAAATCTGAAATTTGATTTTGTCATTAAAATATGCAATATAGTGACTTGTTTAAATTTGAAAAATTTAATGAAGACTCTGCATTTACATCAGCCTAGGAATGATCAGATTTTGTTTTAAAGCTATACCAGAACAGTTGCTGACAACTAATAGAAAACATTAGTGTATCTGTATAAAACATGGATAGTATAGGTAGCTTGGCCCAGCATAAGTGACAGGAGTGGCCTATCCTATAACCCTCTTTGGATGTTGTCACAACTGATTATGTTTGCAGTACTGAAGTTTGGACTGTCTTCAGTTTAGCATAAAGAGATACAGTTATAGTTTTCTTGGAAATGCTTCTCCTTTGAAGTTGGTTTGTAGGATATATTCTGTATGGTTCTAGAATTCTATTATAATATGTCTGAGATTATTTGATAATTATGACCTGCAGTAAGAACTTAAGATCATGCTTTATACTGCAATTTAATTCTGTTAATGAATGTGTTCTTAGTCATTTTATGGTGTCCCAAAAAGTATGGATTCTACCTGAGATTGAATGAAAACCAAATACTCTTAACTGTATGTCTCATACATATTCCCATTCAGTGTCCTGTGAATTGCATGTTTTCCTTTTTTTTTCCCCCACCCCAGTTTAATAATTTAGAAACTTATGGCAGCAGCCAGTAGGAAGTTGGATTCTGTCCAACTGAACACAAAAATCTCAGCCTGTTGGAAAGCTATGTAAGAAAAACAGTTTTATAAATAAATTTGTCTAGCTTGTTCTAAACATTTCTGGATAGTAAATGCTTGAAGAGAGGACAGCTGACATATTTAATAAAGGACCAAAATTTTTTCAAGTTTCCCTTCCTTAGATGGCAGATGAGAGGTGTGGTCTTTTTAGTAGGCTTCAAGTTGTTGGAAAGTAACGTTCTAAGTAATTGGATATTTGTGTTCAGTTACTGTCTAAGGGATTAACTGGTTAGGAAGAAGAGCTCACCTTGAAATATTTATTTACAATTTCTGCAAAATGACTTTTCCACATCTGGAAATATTACAGAATTACAGAATAACTACAGGGTATCTCTAGTCTATCCTCCTGCTGAAATGAAAGCAGGTTCATTTGTGAGATTGGGCCAGGTTGCTCAGAGCTTTGTCCAGTCAAATCATGACAACCTTCAAGGATGGAGACATCACAGCCTGAATGGGTGGGCTATTCCAATGTCCAACTGTCCTAACAGTGGATTTATTTTTCCTTATATTGACTCTAAACTTATCTAGATTCAAATTTTGCCTGTTCCATATTGTCTTTCTGCCTTGCTCCCATCTGGCTCTGTCTCCTCTATGGCCTTTCAGGGGCTGCTGTCAGGTTCCTGTCAAGACCATCTTATTTTCAGACTGAAGAAGCCCTGATCCCTCAGTTTTTCCTCACAGGGAGAGTATTTCGGTCCTGACCGCCCGGTCATGCTCCCCTGAACTTGCTACACTTTATTCATACATTTCTTTTATTCTGTAGCTTGTAACTGGACATGGTATTCTAGAACATAACTGACTGTGATATAGTTTTAAAGAAAGAATGAGGTTGCCAAGAATGTAAGACCCTTAAATATTTAGTAATAAATTTCATCAGTCTGCCTTGTGACAAATGTCATCACAGAAACATTCTACAGACAGCTTTTTCCAGCTTGTATGTAAAAGTATAGGACTGTAACAACATTCTTGTCCTTCTAATTTTAACTATGTTTTAAAAGTCACAGCATGTGGATAACACTGTTGCTTTAGAACAATTTACGGTAGGACTTGCTTCTGCAGACACAGTCGAAGAGTTGATAACTGAGAATTTCTTTGTTCCCTTATCTAGATAGAGGTGAAAAGACAGAAAGAAAGCCTGTTTGATTTGCATCAGTATCAAAGCCAAGTTCAAGGTCATGAGTTCTTGATGCCTGTGTTTTGCTTTGGAATCACTGTGACCACACCTAAATTCCTCACATTTAAAACCTGAATATTACATTATGCTTTGTTAAGGGCACAAAAATATGGGTTACTGCTGAAAATTCCAGATAGGTTTCGCAGAACACACTTTAAAGCAGCAAAACACGTTGAAGGCAAGCTGCCCAGTCTCAGGTTCTGAAGAACTGGCACCTTGGGGGAACTGAAAAGGACACAGAGTCACAGTTTTCAGCTCTCCCTATTCATCTTTAATGATAAGTTGCCTGGTATCAAAATAATAACCTGTAAAAAAAAGTCTAATTTTATAATTCCTTTGGTACCATCTCTTTATAGATACTTGTGGTTTCCTTCTCTGTTTTCGTTGTGTATGGCTGGGTGGGTCATCTGTGTTAGTTGTGTTTAGGCGTTGATCCAAATTATCAGACTACATCATAATCAAGAAGCTCAAGATAAAATTCTCTGCTTGAACCATAAATTAAGCTTTTTTAAAACTGTTTTATTTAATCTTTCTTCCCCTATTGCTGCTTCTTACATTTCAGAATATGATATTGCCATTTGGGGAGCAAACTTATGTCAGAAGGCCACATACATGCATCTGTGTCTGTATATCGTTAAAAATGTGACTATGATAATTTTTGGTCTCAAACATATATTTATTTTTCAGGATGTGAACACTATCAGAATGATCATGGAATAATAGTTGATTACAATACCTCAGACCCACTAATACGCTGGGATTCCTATGAAAATATGAGCCCTGATGGGGAAGGTGAGTATTTAATCACATGAGACCAAAGCAAAACTTTTTGCCACTGTTGCAGTGTTTGGAAGGAGAAGGGAGATCTCATTTGCTTGAAGCTAATGCCACTTTACTGATGCGTTAAGTAGCTGTCTAATCTCCCCTATTTAGCGTTAGTGGCTCTAATTTAGGAAAGAAAGCAGTACTAGTTAAGAGAGATTCTTGTCAATGCATGGAATTGGTTTGAGAAACAACTCATTGATACAAGTTACTTTATTACTTGTAAATTTGCCTAAAGATTCTTTTTTTTGTTCTAAAGCTTGTAGTGGGAATCTTAACAGAATTTTAAGAACAACAAAATAATATGGTGAGTTTTTAGCTTTTGCTTTCTATGTTATCTGGAGTATTGCAGAAGGTGCACTAGACTGTTATGGATAAACAAACAACAAAGGATGTGGCTATTTGCATATCGCCCCTTGTAAATTTACCTATTTCCAAATTGCCCTTTTATTTCTTAAGATTTTTTTTTTCTGTAATCTGCTGACGAATGTAGAAAATGAAAAGCTCCAGTAGCTGCCTTCAGATTCTGACTTCAGTGTGGATGATTTTCAGATGTTTTGCATGAATGAATGTTGTGCTTTTAATGGATATAGTTTTCATGTAAGGACTCAGAATGTCACACCTGTGTCTGCACACCTCAGGACACACGCAAGCCTTACATTGTTGCAAGTAAAAACATGAGACAAGGTACTGAATGGATGGCAAAGTTCTTGTTTTTACAACTCTCCTGTTCTGAAATGAGAGACAGACAAAGCTAGGATACTTAATTAGCTGATCTCTAGGCTAAGTTTCAGTCGGTTTTTATAATCTGAATTCAACATTGACCATCTAATGACCATATCAGTGAGGGTTTTAGGGCGGACTCATACTTGAAGCTTGACTTTTTTTCACTGCCTCAGTCTCGTACAGGAGCATTTCCTAATGCACAGCAGACTCTAATTGCAGAAAACTAGGGGAATATAGGGAGTGTAAAGAGAAGAGTCATTTGGTGCTGTTACATGGGGCAGGTAGAGCATTCCGTAAGGGAGTCATCAGAGCTTTTATAGTTGGATAAGACTGTGTAGTGTAGAAGGAGTAACATCAGAGAGTGTGAATCTTGACTGGATGTCTTAATTTCTACCCAGGATGTTTCCATATAATTTGTGATTCCTTTACCTCCCTCCATCTGCCATCCTTTTCCCTTTCCTTTGTATATACCTAGCCTTCACCAAGAATTGCATTGATATAAAATATTTTTTAATTGCTGAGATTGATTGGCTAGATGGATTTGACTTTCCCATTCTCATCCATTACATTGTAGGTAACTACTACAGAGAATTGAAAGTAGAGGTAAATGTGCAGGCAGCACTCTGTTGGAAGATACAGAACTGTATGCTGCTCATGTCTTCTAGAAGAGTTGATCAGAGACCATTCACAAGTACTATTAGCTTGTTTGCCTGTTGTTCAGAAGTCATAAAGGCTTTTATGTCTAATTTGTGTGCATGATACATTTCTAATTACCTGAGCTAGAACAGAAATATAATGTTTTAGCATAGATACTGAGTTCATTGTGCATCTGCAAAGAAATCACTCAAGTCGAGCTAGAAAATATACCATAAGAATATGAGATGTATCCAGTTAATCTCTTCTCAAGTAACCATTTAGGAAGCAGGCTGTTACCCTCTGATATTCAGCAATGGAATTGCAGGCAGAGCAATTCCATTTGGCTCTGCATAAGCTGGGCAAAAGACAATGAAGGGCTAAAGCACATGGGGGACAAGTATATTTTTCTCTTAAGGATGAGGTCAGTTCTTAGCACAAATTTAAGCTTAGTCTGATGCTTGAGGTAAATATAGTGCAGTTAAGTCATCCTCTGTGTAAGATTTCTAAACACTGGGGCAGGCTTCTCTTTATGGTTTGTGCAGATGTTCAGTATCTCGCTTGTACATTAAAAAGGTGTATTGAGTCCTAGTTTACACTGCAGGTGAGAGACCACTAAGAGAGGCTGACTTCACATTCAGAAAGTGATCTAAGTCAAAAGCCCTCGAATCTGAAGCCTTTAGCTACAATCCTGAAGGCTGAGAGAGAATCTTTTCTGTATTTCAGAAAAGATTAAGGTGCAAGATGTGGTGCATTTGAAAGTGCATAACAGTGGTGGTATGCTTAAGGATCAGGGAAGTCTCATACAGAATGCCTGTTTCAGATCTACTTCACATTAAGTTAAACTCCTAGCTTTATGTAGAAACTGGTCTTCATGATTTTACTTGGACCTGTTTTCCCACAGGAATTTCAGTAGGAATAGTATGAGATGTTACTGTGACAGATGATTCCTATATTACAGTTATACACCTTTTTGTGAATTTAAAAAATGTAGGCCTATGAAATTTCTTAACAAGGAAGGCTACAAAGGAGCCTTGTGAAGTGGACAGAATTTTCTTTGCAGGTATATTGTGTGTGGAATAGCTATTTCCAAGCTGATGTATTTAAATAAAAAATTTAGAAGTGAACAAGAAAGCAGTATATGTCTTTTGAAATCATACAACTATTTGGCCTTATTACCAAAAGAAAAAAAGACAGAAGGACATGATAAAAGAAAAATGTTCCTAAGGTCTCTTGGTTTGCTGGCATGATACAGTATTACAGACAGAAGCAGTTGCCTTTAAATGATCTTGAACATTTTGTTAATAAGGTTGTGTACATGTGTTGAATATAGCCAGGCTATGGATAGTTTGCTGTCTGAATTTAGTTCCTTATCCTTCATTCTTAACATTCTTAAGGAATTTTGACAATTGGAAAGCATTAAATTATTTGTGTTTCTTCTCATAAATACTGTTTCACCTTGGGAAGTGGTCCTCCATAATAGACTGAAAATTATATTAAGTTTCTAATTCTCGATTTGTATCACATTTCCTCCTCCTTGACAGAGAATACCATGACACTGATTTAAAAGTATGCAGTCACATGTAGGATTTGTAATCACAAGAACTGGGTCTTCCAACTGCCATGTAGAAGTCTAACATAACTGCCATTTGCTTTTCCTGTGGTTTTGAAGTCAGGAAGGATTTTGTGGTATGAAGGAACAGGAATTGCTTTTGATCTTGCTGAGTACTCTTACTTTATTCTTTAAAGCATCACTTACCATACAGTAGATGTGTATGGATTTACAAAAGGTCACTCATTTGCTACAAAATAGCAAGTTGACCACAAAGATATAATACCTGTAGCCACACGTGTAGTGTCTTCTAATACCAAAACCTCCATTACCAAATGACAAATAATTTTGAAAAAAGCTTCCCAGAGGGATGAGGTAAATGGTAAAGGTTTTTCTCTTTTGTTGAGGGTTCTTTTTAGTTCTCACTGATAATTTTCAGCATTATTGCTATAGTGCATAGGAGATACTGTTGTTAAACACCTCCTGATGAAAGTGCAAGTCTTCTTTTGGAAGGTGGAAACCATAAGTTTGTGCGGAGCCCACAGGTGGAACCACTAAGTCCCTCTGTGCTCTTTTGTCTTCCAGCTCTACAATCTGTGGAAAGAAAAGAACATGTGCACTGTTAGAAATTGCTTAAAATGACAAGAGAATTACTTTTAAGTAATTTGTAAGGCAGGAACTTAAGATACTTAAGTATCTTTCTCAACAAAACCTTGCTATTTATTTCCTAGCAAACTATGTTTGCTTGCTTAATAGTTTTTGATAATTAGAAAAGAAACAGCTTTGGCAACAAAAAGATGTTTATAATTAAGCCAAATAGGGTAGGCTGAGTGAATCCAAATTCATATATCTCAAGAATGTTGCTTTACAAATTCTCTAGCCTTCTGTAACTGTAATCAGCAACAATCAGTCAAAAATTGTCAATTATTTATAAACTGGTTTGTTCCTGCTCTTTTTCTTTTCATAAAGAATAGTATCTGAGAAGTGTCTCCGGGTAGGCAATAGCTAACATTCTGGTATGCAACCATGTCATGTGATGAGATGGGATGTTTGACTTTTATTGAAATTTTCTTCTCCTCTTCAGCCAAGGTAAATAGCTATTCAGTGGGGAGGTGCCCTCACATGTAGTTAAACTCTTGTTTTTCCCAGAGGGCCCCTTCAGTATTGCAAAACTCAAGAGCTGAGGCAAAACTGTTTGGCTTTGGTACCTTAACAGGAATGCAGATGACTACCTAAGAAAACAGCAGCTTTTATGCCATTTCTGGTGAGTGAAGCTGAAGGATAAATTGGTGCTGAATAAATGGTAACTCCAGCTTGTAGTCACAAGTTGGCTGCAATATTCTTTGAGACAAAGAGATTTGATAGAAGGTAGGGATTAAAAAGTGGCCTCCAGCAATTTTCCTCTGTCTGTCAGAGAAAATAGACACCCCTATAGAAGATAGAAACATTTACACTGTAAAATGCTGCCAGCTTGAAACAGTATCTGAAATGCCTTGGAGTGTCTGTCTTTAATTGATTTTTCTCTGAGGAAACTTAAGTCTTTTGTTTCTTGAAGCTCTGTATGTTCCTTTTTTAAAAACATATATAATGTAAAACTGGTTAGTCCACTTAATCATGAAGGTGACAATGAGCTGAAGAAAAAATAATATAAAATGGTATCTTTTGTATGTTAACACTATTGAATGCAAACATAAGGTTTCATTTCTAAGTGTGCAGCAATAGTCAATTCTCTTTCTTTTCTTCCATTAATACAGCATTAATTGTAAAAGAACTGTGGCTTAAATTTTTTGTTAGCTCAGTATGTTAGGGAGTAAATATAAGTTCACACAGGTGTTTTCAACATTGTGCTTGATAAGCTGAGATTGCTCTGGACTCTCATTTCCATGTTTAGGGGATTTGGGATTTTTGGTTGTGCTTGGTGTGGATTTTTTGTTGTGTGTTTTGGGTTTGGGGTTTTTTTTGTCTTTTTTTTTTGTTGCTTTGGTTGTTTTTTTTTGTTTGTTGGTTTGGTTTGTGTTGTTTTTTGCCTTTTTTTTTCTTTATTTTGTTGCCAAAAAGA